CTGGTGGTGGTAGGAGTTGACCATCAGCTGCCCGCCAGTCTCCGCGTCCAGCGAGTCGTGGAACCTCGGAACTGGTTTCCCCGGAAAAAAAGAAGAAGAAACAAAACTGGAGGAGAACTTGGGTTCTCTGTGGGAAATCTCGTGGAGATTTTTAGGGGTTGATTCCTTTTTGATTCTGCTCAACCATGGTTCGTTTCAAAAACCGATCGCCATTTTCCCTGGGTCTCTGGAGGATTGCTAGAAAGAAGGATTCCTGGAAAGAATGGGGAAGGTAGCCCTAGATCTGTGGGGTTCTTTCGTGGAGATTGATGTAGATGCCGGATTCAGCATCAGCAAACGAGTGCTTCTCAACAAAAAAAAGGAAGGGACGCGTTAAGGTTCTCTTGCATACACATTTTATGCTGGCAGTGGTGTAGCTCAAAAAGCAGTAGTTATGTAGTTCTTGTTTGGTATGCCAATTTTTGTATTTGTCTTTGTGTTGTTGGTCGTACTGATCTAATAACCGTAAATAATAATTTGGTTCAGTTTCTGATAAACTACATTGTGCATCTTCAGGAAATTCAATGTATCTTATTCTGATCAGTAGAGCCATGGTTTTACGAAGGATATGGTTGTTCACTTATTCTAGTCTGTACAGCCAAATTATTAAGAAAGATACTGTTGTTCATTTATTCTAATCAGTAGAGTCAAAACCTCCCAATTCTTCGCCAAGGTTTCCCTTTTTCTGGGTTCCCATTCGTGTTTCAAGGCAATCCATGTGCAACTTTCAGGAATTGGGGGCGAAAACAGCCAGCACTGAGGCCCGGGCCAGTGTGCCAGCGGCGTCTTGGCGTGAACGTCGATTGGGTGACGGAAGCTGCAGGGTCGAGCTGTGGCAATCGGATGGCATGCGAGTCGCAATCAACATCTGGCTTGAAAGTGGTCGACCCATGTGAAGAAACAAGCGGACGGATCTCCACACGTAGTTGTGGCAAGGGGACTGTCCCTGACTAAGCTTCACTTACCCCGGGTTTTGATTGTTGCTCCTGTGGGCAACGGACGTACTATTGATTTGAGGGGGGTTTAGATTCAATTACAGGAATTAGGGTTTAGAAGGGGTTATGTGGCTGTGCTTTTTGAGCGGATCCCATTTTGCGCTGGTCTTCAAGTTGCACAAGCTCTCTCCTAACAGCTCCAACTATCCTCCAGATTTCTGGAGAACCAATTGATGCATGGCGCTTTGCGTCCCTTGCGTCCCTTGCGTCCCTTGCGTCCCTTGCGTCCCTGCGTCGTCAGGATCCCTCGCTTCTCGTTTGCGTCGGCTTTCTTTTCATGCTCCGGGTCCATGAAACATGGCGTCCTCAGAACTACCCGCGCACCCTGGTGGTTTAAAGAGAAACCACCCACAATTTCCCGAAAAAGGCAATGCCCAGCGATAAGTCAGGCGCCGCTCGTCCTCCGCCCAATTCCCGGGCACCTGTCGTAGGTGGGCCCGTTGGGCTGCAAGTGCTGGATCGTGGTGCCAGTTTCGGCCGCCAGGTCACCGTACAAAGTTCCACCCCGCAGGACCTGAGGCCAACCGGCCCAGGCGGAAAGGAGGCTCCACGGAGGTGCCAATGTCGCATGTGGTTCCCCCGAATTCTTGCATTTCAAGCCACTCCATGCCAAAGTGCAAATGCTGAAATAGAAGCTGTGGAATGTGGTCGTGGGAAGCTTGACTTAAGGCGATTATATAATATATATATATATATTCATATATACATATATATCAGCATAACAGCGTTGCTTTGGTCGCAAGGATGACTTCACAGGTAATCATTAGCCATCCATAATCCGGCCAATTCAGCTGTGCTGCATTCAGCATCTGAGATCCTCGACAAAGGCCCAAAATGGGGCATCCAGATAAGAGGGCGTATCCTCAGTGAAAGCCGTCATCCAACACAAGCCGGTTGCGGGCGGGAGCGTGAAGCAGCCCAGCGACAATTGCAGATTCTTAGCGTCACGCAACTTGGCAAGGATGGCTCAATACGATTGATTCGAGGCTCGCATCAAAGCACACTCGAGCTCGTCTTTGGAGATGTCAAATTCAGTGTCACTTGCAAACCTTAGCTCGGGCTGCCAATATGATCCATGAGAGCTGATGAGAGCATCAGCAGCATCCACGAACTTTCGCAGGTTCCGTGAACACCACTATGCGCTCCCCCCCCCCTTTTTGTGTGAGATGGCGATGATAACTTTGAGTTCTCAAGCCCAACTTAAGCCAGCCCATGGAAGCAGACCCAAAGCCAGGCGAAGCATTGGCCGACAAAACTTGCAATGGAAGGCGAGACCTTCACTCACTCGAAGTTGGCCAAACAAGCCACTGTCAAAACCTGGTGCAAACGGAGTCTACCCTATGAGAGAAATGGTGGTTGAGGAGCAGTCCTCTTGCCATAATTAGTTGCGGACATCCACCCTTTCATTTTCTTTCACGCTTCTCACTTACAGAGCAGATTGGCAAAATCGCATCTTGTCTTGTGCCACTAAATCGGCCTTTCCGAGAAGTGTCAAGTCCGGCACCTCTTGTGTGTGTTTTCTTTACTCTGGCCCGGCCCAGGGCGTGACCACAACAACCACAAAAGTGTAGAGTCCAGGACCTCAAAGAGTGAGGCTTTGATTTCGTGGCGCGTGTTTTTTGGCTCAACCCGCGACGGCAAAGCACGCAAAGCAGAGGCGCTGGGCGGCGGCCTCGCCCTCCAGGCGCGACGGGATGGAGCATTTGTACTTGCCTCGGCTCTTCCAAGGCCAAACAGACTTGGACCCGACGACGCTGTATAGGTTGGCTGAAAGGGGAAGTGAGACCAAAAACGAAGGCGGGATGCTTTGCGGGGTAAAGTCTGGGATTGCAAAAGCCTTTGAGAATGGTTTCACAAAGGAAGCCAAAAGGAAAACCGCCTGAAGGAGTCCCTGTTGTCTTCCGATTCTGAGCAACAAGCGCGTTGCACTGACCAAGCACTTTTGTCCCCCCACCCCCCACCCCGCTCGTAAGCACAGAGGGAAATCGCATGGTGAGGCCGAAGCCACACGTCTTCACACCACCTAGGAACACGGCCCCTGCAGGAAAGGTTCGGAGCGGCACCTTCGGGGTACTTAGAAGGTCTTCCATCCCAAAAAAGGGTGGGGAGCCCGAATATCTAAGGCTGGAGTTGGCGACGCACTCTCGCATGCAAAACCTCAGAAGGGATGTGCTGTACCCAGTGGAGATGATGACTGGATATTTGTGTCACCAGCCTGTGGGTGGCTTTGAAATGGAACCAGCATAAGGTTGGAGAGACTCCGAGTTTGAAAAGGAGTTTAAAGGTGAGGTCGGAATAGCTGAGAAGACTCCGCGGGACCCTGCCCAAGTTAAGGTCTGAGCCCACATGAGTGCTTGGAAATTGGATTCCATGTGCGTCTTCAGCTCCAAGCAGAATGCTCTAGGGCCGTGAGTGAAATGCTGCCAGAGTCTAACAGGATTGGCCAGTCAGCAGTCCGGCAAGGACATGAGCTTCTTGGAATATGCTGGCAGCATGAGCAACTCCATCTGCAAGAAAGCCGCGCAAGACATCATCAGAGATATCGTTGCCCTCGACCACCAAGAGACCTCGGCAGTGTCGACTTAAGCGGTTGGAACCATTCGAAGGCCTTCATTGAGTGATGAAGATCCCCGGCTTCGGCACTCGAGTCTTGCCCAGCCACCATCCATGGGCAAGTACTCCAACAGGCTCGCCAGTGTTCCAACTGTTCTTGGCACCATGATCGGTGCCCCACCGAACTCCTGACACGGAAGCGAATGGGAGGAGCGCGAGGGTTGCTTCTCTGCCTGGATTAAGTCCAGGTGGTACTCTCCCACGAAGTCCACAAACTTGCTCTTGCGTTCGTACCTCGCGAGCTCTCGACCCTCGCAACTCACTCCGAATTTGAGCGCCAGCCTCCGGGCCACGCACAGAACGCGCGCAGGTCGGAGCCGTGGTGCCTCATTATGCTTGGCCCACGCACTGGAAACGGGAGGAAGAACACATACTGTATCTTTGGGTCATGCTTGGACTGTTTTTACAGCTCAAAAATGAGCGCTATCCGGTGAGACCTTTTACGCCCTTCCACACGTTCCAAACTGGTCAAGCTGAGCCAAGCCATGAGGCACCTGAGCGCGCGTATCCACATCCGTTTGGAGGGGCCTGCTTTGCATTGCTTCCCGAAATCAGAGAACCCAAAGCAGGACCTGACAAAGGGGAAGTGTGCCCCTCGACTCGTTGGGTTATAACCCCCTTTAAGAAAATCCCAACGCCCCTTTTCGCGAGAGGAAATCTCAAATCGATACCAATCGTTCGACCTTTTGGGTCCCTAAAACCTCTTCCCTTAGTTTCCCTTGGCCTGGGGGTATTTCCTGGGGCTCCTGGCTGGTGGGGAATACATGGAGCTCCAAAACAGCGCGGCGTCCCGAGCAGCCCTCGTAGAATGTACCTCAGCGCGCATGCGTAGGGGCAGCGAAGACCCTTGCTGGGGCTCGGGGGTATGGCGACCCCCCAAAATCACTTTGGTTGTCCTTTTGGTTTCCCTTTGAAGCACAAAAATCGGAGATCGGCAGGCACCCTGATTAAAAGACATTGCCAAGCAAAAAACAAGCACGTATGCGACACCGAAACTCCCCAAAACTTGGCACGCGCAGGATCCGAAAATGTGCCGACCTGCATTTCAAAAGCCAAGCCAATAATGGAGGAGTGCACATATGTGAGCCACAACACACGCAAATTCCATAAGCAGTCGTCTGGCTGCGGGAAGGAAGTTTAGCTCTTGTCCCATGGCTCAAGGTCGCTGGATTTCCGTTCACCCCATGTGGGCTGGCCCTTTGAGCGCCGCGCCGACGTCCAGGGCCTGGACGCAGCTCTGCAAAGTGCTGCGAACGTCTCACGCCACGCAAACCCGAAGGCAGATTTGTTGGACCCATGAGGAGCTTGTTTTGCCCCGGAGTCCAAATGGCCATGGGTCAAAAGCCCGTACCCCCAGTGAACATCCCAATCCCCACCAAAATAGGTTCTAAAATGGGTGGTGCACCTACCCCAAAATGGGATCCCATTGGTTTTGCCCAACGAAGCGGCGCGTTGCCTCAAAGCCTGGCTGGGCTCCTTCTCCGGCTCGCCTGAAGCTGAAGGAAGGAGGCCAATCCTCTGGGCCCGTTTAGCCAGACCTCCGCAAAACTACGCTCTAAGTGGTTCTTCAAAGCGGAACCGCCGGGTCCAGGACGGGTGTGTGAAAACATTGGGGATAGCAAGCTGCAGTCACTTGCCCTCCCAACAATCATGGAAACTGACGGGAGAGTATTGGAAGACTTCCTTTTGGGGAAGGCTCCTGTCCACTTCCATGTTTGTTGGGAAAGGGCACTAAGTTGCAAAGCCCCCTGCCGGAATCGCTGCTCTGCTCCTCTACCATGTGGTGGAGGGTCGAAATGCCTCGCATCCACACAGGCTCGCGAGCCCTCGTCACTTGAATGAATTCGTATGTGTGTCTCTTTCTTCTTCTTCTGTTTGTTTTCTTTTCGGCTACCCCTATTTTGTGAGTCAGGGTTAGACATCCCTTCAAAACACACACGCACCTGCAGGTTGAGCCAAACCCATGTGTCAAAGCTTTACGCTAAGGACCCCGACCTGTTGTAAATTCGAAGTCCTTCTCTGTCTCCGCATCGCCTTCACATGTGCCCAGCCACTCTGGTAAAGGAAAGTGCACTGATGACCAGCTTCCAGCGAAGGATCCGCCTTCAAACTGATGCTAGACTGAATATGGCATGTGCAAGTTTTTGAACGCCGAAATGTGTCGCTTCTTGCGGCCAAAGAGGCTGTCCATGTGTGCCTCTGGGTCAGCCTGCCACATTATTCATCTGCTCCCAAAAACGAGAGGCTGCCATGAATATTGCCCTTCCTGGTCTTACTTACAACTACAGCCAATATCGCTGCATTTTTCGCAATTACTTAGACCCGCACCCAAAAACCAACATGCAATCTGCAACCCGTCCCAATTTATGATGGTACTTCCCTTCGAAAGTGAAAGCGTGGCGCAAGCCAATGCAGTCAGTGCGGGATGTCCTTTGCCCATCTCTGCCAAAAACTAGACAGCATCACACGCTGCATGGGTATGGGGACTGTGCCGTGTTGTGGACCTTTTGTCCAAGGGGAAGCCATACATTCCAACTGAATTGCAGCATGTGCATATGTATCTATGTGTATATATATATATATATTTATTTATATACATATGTATATGAACAGTCGGAACTTTGGGGTCCAAAGGGCCTATGTGATCTATGCGGGGGCGGGCGTCAAAATTACCGACCTCCTTATCCTTGGAGGCGAATGGCAGCGAAACCCGCCAGCCCTTCTCGGGCTTGCCTTGTCAGCCTTTGCAGAGCTCAGGAGCCTCAGTTCGTCCAGCAACTTGCATCGCTTGTGGCCAAAGTCTGAAACAGAAGCCTAGGAGCGGCTGGCAGTAGAATCTTGCATATTAATACTAATATCTCTCTCTCTCTCTCTCGGATGCAGAGCGACTCCGCGACGCTAAAAAACATGCAAACCAAAACAAAGGCACTTCAGACAAAATCATGCTGTACATTACATTGACTTCCTCCAAAACAGAAGCATCTCCGTGGATGCCAAAAGAAAGAAGTGCCTCGAAAACCTCGTCCAACTCAACCTCGGCCTGCAACTCCTCGCCCCTACGCTTGTGCAGCAAAACAGCAAAGTTGAACAAGGCATCCCCGAAAAGCTTACTCATGCCATCAGGGTACACCGAATCAACGGGCCACGCAGAAAGCGATGAGAGACCGTCTGGTGTTCCCAACTTTCGTGCGCGCAACGCCCTGCAGCTCCAGTGCTCATGATGTGCCTCACCAAGGGCGCGAGACGACCCACAAGCAGAGTCGTCGGCTTTCTGGCCATGGAACGAAACAAGCATTGATCGGTGGTAACAACCTGCGCACAAGCAAGCCTGGTCAAAGCCCTCACCACGCGCAAAGACCAAACAGAAGCAGGAGGATCCCTCGCGCGAGCACGACCAAGGGCCCACACGGGGAAAGCCGGGTGCTCCATGATGACAGCAACTCCACAACCGAGAAGAGCCCAGACCAAGGAAAGTGTAAAATGCCCAAGAGCAGTGTCAGCAACAACCTCTTTCCATTGGCGTTTCGTCAACCCCTTGACGCCCCAACAAACTTCGGCAGACCTTCAAGGCCAGGGGCCTGGGCGCCAAGTCCTGCGCGGCGGGCCAAAGAGCGCCGCCGAAATCATCCCATCAGAAGCCCACTGGCGCGACTGCCTTGCCTGTCGGGGGTTCGAAAGATCGACATCTTGGGACACGCCAGCATCCACGCTCAGCACAAACAACTCAAAAGTCGCACGAGCCACATGTCGCAGAATCACCGAACCAACATCGCACTGACGGCGGTGCCCAGAGAAAAAGTGGACCGCAACTCCAACCTTCCGCCGAACAGCAAGGGCGTTAACACCAAGACTGCTCGGGTCAAGACTGCTCGGGTCATGTAATGATTTTTGTATGTATGCATGTATGTATGTATGTATGTATGTATGTAAGTACGTAGGTAGGTAGGTAGGTAGGTAGGTAGGTAGGTAGGTGTGTATGTATCTGCGTTCGTGCTTCAATGGACTCCATCATCTGAAAATATGGCATGATCTATTGTACAACCATGTATAGACAATGATATATAATCGTGTGAGAAGGGCCCTACACCTATTCACAGTTGGTTCCGTAGCCCTGGTCAACCCAGGAGGTTGAACCACCCGTGAATGGCTGTGGGTCTTACTCATTTGGCTGTGGAGCCAGCTGTGCCACCGAAAAAAAGAGGGCCTGCGCCCTCACTTTCGTGGGAAACTCAGCAAGTCCTCGATGTCCCTCTTCTAGACAAGTCACACATTTTGACCCCATATCAGGCTATGCCTCATGTCAAAACAACAAGATCCTTCACTTTTCATGGAAACGCCAACAAAATCCGCTGGCACATTAGCCAACTGCACCTTTTCCTCTCTCCAGGGCGCGTAGGGCTGGACTGGATGCGGCGCGTGAAGGTCATCCTGAAGCGGAAGCTCCCCAAAAGCCAGTGACGAGTCCCTGGTGTCCCAAAAGGAAACCTGAAGGAAAAAGCGGTCCAGCAGCATGGTTCCAGTCTCCTGATAAGTCCAGCAACTGGTTTGCAGACGGTCCAAGTGCAACCAGTCGTACCGAGACTGCCTGAAACGCCCACTGACTCCTGAAAACACCACGGCTCGATGCATCCAAGCGGCACTGGCCGGGAATCCGAAATGAGTCAAATGCTACTTCTGCGCGAAAACTCAAAGGATCTGAAAAAGTCTGCGGAGAAAGCTTTGGCCACCGCGCTTCTGACAGCTGCCCTGGAATTGAAGAGCATCGGAGCAAGTCCCAAGGAACTCGTCAAGCTCTCCTTGGGGGTGACCACAAACCCATCATGGTATTCAGGTCTTCCTTGATTGTGCGGGCTTCGTGACCAACATCTGCCTGTACCCTCACATCTGGGCTTGCAGTGGTCCTTACTGGACCTGAGAAAAACATTGAGACCCAAGCTCATCCAACCACGATTGAATGCCACATGGAGATTTCCTTGGTAGCAGAGCAGACCCGACTTTCTACAGCCAAAATCCCCTCTCTCCACCTGCCATCCCTGCCTCACATCGAGGGGCAACGCCTGATGGACAGGTCCCGCTTGCTGGGCGCTGGGCGCTGACTTCTGCGGCAAAACTCGAGAGTTTGCCGAAGCTGGGGTCGCTGATTTGAGAACCAGAACCAACCCTAGTGAGGCTATGAGAAACGCAATGGGTCCAGCCTTTTTGAAGGCTTGGCAAGACACAGCTTGAGACGAACACTTCAAGGGAACGAACAGCTTTTCCTCTGCTCAAGCCGCCGCTGTCCGGGGGGTTTCTCCTACCTCGACCTTCAAGCCGAAGCCCCGGAGACTCGGAGCGAATTCCCGTCGGCTCAGAACTCGGCTCGACCTCGCGCAAATTTTGCAGACGCTCGCCAGAGGCATCTTGAGCTGCGTGCGGCCATGTAAAGGGTTGACCTCATCACCTCTAGATGCCCAAAAGAAGCCGTGGGAGCCTTCATATTTATCACCCTGGACAAAAGGCCGCACGGCAACTGTCTTTGGGTTCACCTGGGCATCCGTGTATCCCGCTCCTTGGAGCAGGACACCGCCACATCAATGTCCAGGCCCTGCGAATCCAGCTGGGCACAGATCAAAACAGCTGCTCGCTCTGCGAAGTCCTGCCTTCTCGTCCTCCGCCGATGTGGTGAAGCTACTCTGCATCCTGCTTCCTGCGGTTGCCGATCGCTGGCTTTTGGGGCCGAGAACAGATCACGAGTTGGCTGATGGGCCGTCGCATGCGCCTCAAACTCATTGAATCATCAAGCCACGTGTGGATTGATGCGCTTCAAATATAAAGGTCGCACAAGTAGACAAGTGTGAAGCACCCGAATGAAATTGGGGGTGTGGTCCTTTTGCGCGTCTGTCACTCCACTGGCTTGATCATTGCCACTCTGTTGAACTTCTGCGATGGAGCATGCTTCATAGAGGCATAGTTAGTACATGTGACAGGCTGCATTTGTTTCCTGCTAGCGGAGTTTTTGTCGTGCACCCGTTTCAACGCGATGTCACTTGAATCCGCCGATTCGTCTTGATGAGACTGCCTCTGCCTTCCTCTGTCAAGCCGTGAACTTGAGGGTCTGCGCTGAACAGGCTGCTGCCCATGATGAAGAGAATACGCCGTGTTTACGTCATGTGTTGTTGCGCTTGTCCTGGACAGTGCTTGCACATCTCTGATTTGTCTCAGAGTGTAACTTGCGCGTCCTTTGTTCTGAGCCAAGTCTGTTGGGAGCAACGTTGCCAGAAACTTCTTTGAGAGTGAGCGACTCGGGTGAGTAGCATTTTGTAGTTGATTGCAGCTTTCTTGGCCCCGCTTAATCAGGAGATTGTTTCAGGACGTTCATCACACGACCCTTCAGCCACTCATGCATTCAGCCTTCTGAATGTAATGAATCTGTCCCCATCTGGAGCGTTGCGTGCGACGCCTCACCTTTCTCAGGGCAACAAGTCTTGAGTGTGTCGCTCCAGCAGGCAGCCTACCGGAACAAGCTCTCGTCAGGCCAGAAAAACAAGGGATGACAACTACCTGCATGGATTAGCCACCTTTCGCCCTGAGGTGCACTGCGCTTCTGCTACCTACAGAGGCCCCCCCCCAACAAAAAAAGAGCAGGCCTGCGCACTTGGCGCTTGGCAAAGGCAATCTGGCTCTTCCAGAATTCGGTCACCTCAGTTCTCCGAACTCTCCGCGTTGACGAAAAATCCAAGCTTGCATTGGCAACAAAGTACTCGAACATGGCTACCTGAAGTTGTCTTCTTTTTCGTTGGCCATGTCTTCACCCCTCGCATGTAGCCTCACCAAAAACGCCCATGGCACGCCAGCCATGGAGTTGTGGTCGGCATCCAACTCGATGAGTTCGCGCTCACAGCAGTTCACAGCGGCATCGAGGTGCTTCTTCGCATTGTCAGGCGTCACCTTGCTCAACGTTGAACCCTAAACCATGTAGGCATGTTATCGACAAAGAATGACACCAAACCAATATTGCCCAAACATATATGTGCTTCTTCCTTTCTCATTTTAAGGTAAGGGCAACGGCAGAGAAAGATATGATGGTACCAAACGCCATCCAAGCATGGAAAAACCCAGGAAATGGAAAGAGTCCGAAATTGATGGGCTCTGTCTGGTTCCAAGTCTGTCCAGGGCAAAAAGAAATTGGAAGAGGACCCCTCTTGGGCTGGCTACATGGGATGGTTGCCTTCGAAGGAAGCCTAGTTGGGTCTTTGTCAAAAGCAAGTAGCCCCAAAGAAGTGCGCGGCTCCTTTTGGTCTCCCTTTAACTAAGGAGAAAGGGTACCCGCCAAAACCGAACACACGCCCGCATAGGTGCTTTCCCTTGCCTTTGAACAAAGACACATCGCTGGGGACGGCTTAAGGGAAGTCAAGAGATCAAGAGGGAGCCCGGTTCCAAGATTTCTGGTGAAGCCGCCACCAAGTCGTGGCGCCCATGCAAGACCAGCAGAGGGCCCCGGAAGCCCCGGAGGAAGTCTTGGCTCCCGTAGATCAGGAGCTGCTCCTCCCGATATGGAAGGAGTCCCAGAGCCGGGCAGCAAGCCAAAAAGCCGCCTCAGAGTATCTATAGCATTGAGGAAACTGTTTTAGAGGAACATGATATGTCCCTTGAGCGGAAGGAACACCCAAGAAGCCACGAATAGAAGCAAGTACTTAGTGTCTTTGGTTCCGACCCACGGGTCCCTTTCATCGAAAAGGGCCAACCTCGCTACATGCAAACCCATCAGCGCAGGACAAGAGAACTAGTACGCCTTCATTCGGGGCAGGACCCCCACCAACAGGAACCATTCGAAGTCGAACGGATTCAGCATGGGTACGAAGGTGCATAGTACTCGCTACCCGCAGGGTCGACCACCCCCTACAACCGCAAAATGGCTTGCTGAAACCCCCTTGCAATTGTCTAAGCTCCCAAGTAATTTCGGGGGTCATTGAAGTGACACGCGAAATTACCGAGCCTCATGACGTCATGGTCTGCATGGAAGCCGGCCGTACGGCAATGGATGCTGTCCTGGCCCGGCTCACCCGCAGGCAAAGACCGCCGCAGAGCGTTCGAGAGCTCCTGGCGGAGCAGAAGGACGTCTCACTCACCGGGGGTCGCTCCCCATGCTCGTCCTTTGAGACGCCCAAAAAGAACCAATTTGGGCAGGTCAATTTGAGAATCCCATATTGCCCATTGGGGCGTTTCCTAAACTCATATATAAACCATGTCAGCTTGCCCAGGGGTTCGCAGGATTGCTGGGTGTGAAAGGGCCGCAGTCAAGTAAGCGATGACTTTGCCCTGTGGGTGGCTGAAACAAGCAACAGCAAAGCCAAACAAAGCAAAGTAAGGCAAAGCAAGGCAAAACAAAGAAAGGCAAAGAAAGGCAAAGAAAGGCAAGGAAAAGCAAAAGCAAGGAAAAGCAAAAGCAAGGAAAAGCAAAGCAAGGAAAAGCAAAGCAAGGAAAAGCAAAGCAATACCTTGCTACTAGTGTAAGAAAGGCAAAGCAAAGCCAAGCAAAGCAGGAAAGCAAGTAAGCAATGCAGAAAGCAGTAAAAAACTGAGCACTAACTACTGGTCCAACAGCGACATGCCCGTCCTGAAACATCATGTCCTGGGCACGCAAGGATTTGGTGTCTGCTCGCAGCAAAACAAAACAGCCGGCCGGCATGCTGCAAACCCGGCATAGCGCCCAGGCTTTGCCTGCGTAGGAACCAACCCAAAGGCAACGAATTTGAAGGTGCACGAAAGGCAATCAAGCCTGTGTTGCCACAACCATTTGGGGTCCGGGTCCAAATCCCTATTTTGACACATACCCACCCTGAACTTCCCCAGTTGGGTGAGATGGCGCAATCTCACCATGGCTTGGGAATCGTTGCTTACCACAAGGGAATTGTGCCATCCACTTTCATCCTGTACTCGGGCTTTGACCCTCCCATTCTTTCATGGCAATCGCCTTCTTGGGCAAGATATGGGGGCTTGATAAAAAAGAAGCTGACATCTCGCACGAAACGGAAAAAAGTTCCCCACGGCCATATGGGGGGCCGAACAGAATATACATCAACCCCCGGATCTATGTCCAATTCACCGAGGCGCCGCCTCGCTGGATGCCCCCAGCCACTGCTTCAGCTGCTGGAGCCGCTCGTGGCCACAGGTGGCGAAGGCTGAGTCCAACAGCAGCCCATCGAAGCGGGCCTGGCAACCGGTCGCCCGGGAGGAAACCAACGAAACGGCCATGGCCATGGCTTAAAATTACACACAGGGGCAAACCGCAGGTTTTGGTCCATATTTCCACATAGGATTCCATTTTGGTACCGGTTTTTTGAGCCACAGCCACATGGCCATGGGTCAAAACCAATGGGATCCCATTTTGGGATAGGTGAATTCACCACCCACTTTTAGAACCTATTTTTGTGGGGATTGGGATGTTCACTGGGGGTACGATTGGGGTTTTGACCTAAGTGGGTCTGCCCGGCGCGTTTCACTACTAGTGCGGTTCAGCGCGATTCGTGTGCGTTTCAGTGTGTGTTTTTCAATGCGTTTCGCTTCTTTGCGTTTCCGCCCGGCAAGGGTACGTGGATGGAGACAGAACACAGTCGCAGATCCTACGGTTTGCTTTCTTAGGCTTTGAAGCAAGGGAAACCAATTAAACGGGCGGCAGTCTTCCGGTTTAGCTTTTTCAGGAGAGGAAAGAAGCAAAACCTTTCGGTCCCGGTTTTGCTTTCTTTAAGAGAGGAATCAAGCAAAACACTTCCGGCTTTGCTCTTTTAAGGAGAGGAAAAAGCAAACCCCGACAAAAGTGCCAATCTGCCGGTTTTGCTGTTTTTAGGAGAGGGAAAAAACAAAACCCTTCGGGAGTTACAATCTTCCGGCTTTGCATTTTTGGACAGGAGAAAGGCAAACCCCTTCAAAAGTGCCAATCTGCCAGATTTGCTTTATTAAGGAGAGGAAAAAAGCAAAACCCTTCGGGGGTTACAATCGTCCGGCTTTGCTCTTTTAAGGAGATGAAAAAAGCAAACCCCTTCAAAAGTACCAACCTCCTGGTTTTGCTTGTTTTTTGGAGAGGAAACAGCAAACCCCTTCAAATGTGCCAATCTCCCGTTTTGCTTTTTTTTAAGAGAGGAAAAAGCAAACCCCTTTGCCAATCTCCCGGTTTTGCTTTTTTCTCGCCAAACAAGCCACAGCGTGGCCTACAAATCCACCACAACATATAACGTGATTTTGCTTTTTCTATGTTGGTTGCGTTTCACATGCTCTGCCTTTCAGCGCGTTTCCCTGCGTTTTTTAGGGCCGCGTTTTCACCCGGCACGCTTTTTTCCCCCACTTAGGTTTTGACCCATGGCCACATTGAGCTTGTCTCAAAGGGATTTGACCCAAACCAAAAGTCATGGCGCCCTTTGAAAAGGCCCTCAAAAACAAACGCAGCCACATCCACGCTTGAGGAAACAAGGAAAACAGGTATGCAGGACTGGACAGAATCAACGCCAGGAGGGGGTTCATCCATTCCAACCGGCGCGAAGTGGATTGTGTCCATCCACAGTATCACAAAAACTTCCCCAGAAAGCCCACAAGGGCTACAACAGAAAAAGGAAAGCAACCATACAAGAAAACAAGCAAACAGCACACAAACGGGGGGCACCACATCCGATCTACATTCAAAACCTGATATGAAAAAAAACGTCTACCCAGAACTATGTAAAGAAACAGAAAAGGCTGCTGCACCCATTTATGGTTGGCCTTCATGCACCCGGGTGTTGAGCCAGCGGCTCATTCCACCCAAAGTTGCGCATGGCCCGCGTCGCCTCCGGCTGGGTGCTGATGAGGTGACTGGCCACCATGCCCCCCAGGGATCGGCCCATCAGCAGCAGCGGGCCTGGCCAGGGCCAGCGCAGCCCGTGCCTCGAGTCGACCCCAAGTTAGAGGACAAACAGGACCCGGACATCCGCAGGACGCTGGGATTCTCCCCCAGAAAACTTCAGCTAACCGGATCTCCAGTGTTTACTTTGGGCTGGTCACAAAATGAAGCGGGGCAAGCCCGCAACATCGTCATCGTGTTGCTGCAAGAAGCACCCATCAGATTGCTCCAATACGCCTGGCGCAACAAAGGAAGCTTCGATCTGAACCTGTATCAACCGAACCCAAGTCCGTGTCTTCCTCGAAACTTCTGACCCTCCACAGGCCGAAGGCCAGGCCGGCGCCTTCCGCGCGCTGAGGCCGGGGCTTCTTCAGCAGGAGCGGCAGCTGCTCCATGCACTGCTCTGCGTCGCTGAGGAGGTTGGCCATGCTGGGCTTGCCGCTGGACCTGGGAGCTCAAGGGGGCTTAAGGGAGGGGCGGGGGTCAAAATGGGACGCCTTAACCTCCGAACTGGGGGTCCTTTCTTCCCTGACCCCAAAATGGTACCCTAACACGCCCTCGAATGAGCCTGGGGATTTGAAAATGAACCGGAAGGAAATCCAAAAGGAATCCACATCTATGCGTCTGTTCGGGGTCATTCTCCTTCTTGGACTGAAAACCAGTTGGGTTTTGTCTCAAAATGTGACGGGCACGCTTGCCCAAACGTGGGACTGCGAAGTTGACGGACCAAGGTCCAGGCCAGCCGTAGCCCCGGTAGTCGAAGACCAACATGCCTGGGCTTGCGAACCACCATTAATTAACATCAAGGGATTCTGTGGACCAAACAAGGATGCGGTTTCAATCTGCCGAATGCATGGCTTACCCGCTTTCATCCCCCTTCTACAATTCTGCATTCGGAAGCCGTGTAATGGGCGACCCTGCATGGTGCTGAGGGCGGCGCTGCATGGAAACACCTCATAGACGTTGGACCAGTTGGTGTACTCCTCGCAAATCTCCCCGTTGCCGTGGTAGTAGATGATCAACGCCGTCTCCTTCGCCTTGGATCTGCGGTTGACATGCAGGCGGTATCCGACCTCAGCGGTCGCTTCCCCGGCACCCACTGCGCAGGTGCCGTCCATGATCTCCATACCGCCCTCATAGCGCAGCTCCTCACTGGGCCCCGTCAAGGACTTTCCTGACGCGCCGCAAGGCAATGGGGGAATTGGGAGGAATCTGTATGGGCCCAGCTCCTTTGGGATTTGGAAGAACATGGGGGATGCAGGGCGTCACGACGGCTGGTCAAATTCTCTGTCCGTGAAGGGCTTCACAGGTTGTACGGGCTTTGCAGGTTGTTGAGCCTGTCTCCCACGCATAGAAAAAGAACGACCGCCTCCAGTCAGAGACAAGTTGGTCTGTCCCTTGTTGGGATTCTTTGCTACAAGGAAAACAAAGGCAAGCCTTGCACCTCTCACCAACTAGTGTGGTCTCTGGAACACAACTTTACTCAGTGCTGTTGAAGGATGGCAACATGGGAGGAAGGTTCCTTTCGGCTTGTGTTTTAAGGGAAACGACCAAAGGCAAGTCGTCTGCTCGCACGCTGCCGTGTCAGCTTCCCTTATTCCGCGAGGGAGGGCACTAACAAGAAGTTTCCAAACCTGGCAGGGGGGCAAAAGGGCGCGCTTTTGGGGCTGGTGTATTTTGCAGGGGTCTCCACCCAACAAAAAAGAGCAAAACTTGACAGGTAGCCCCCGAAGAAAATAGCTTGCAAAAACAAGGCGTCCGAGAAGATGCAACGATTGCTCCAGGTGATTTTACCTACGAAGTCCCAGTGGAAAAGGGGGGGGGGGGGCAAGGGTGGCCGATTCGCCGAGGCGCTGGGCCGCAAGATCCGCAGCTGGCGCGCGTGGCGCTCCCAGCACTGGCGCCAGAGCTGCGTGAGGCCCTCGGCTAGGGCCTTCGCCGTGTCGTGGCCCACCAGATCTCTGCAGCCTGCGGCCCGCAGATTGGCAGCGGCTGGCGGTGGGTGGAAATCGCTGGGGGACGTGTCAAAATCCGGGTTGGATCTTTCTTGTGGTGTCCACTTCGGGCGGCACGCGGCACGAGCCACTGTTGGTGACCACAGGCCAAACCAAGGGCCACAAACCTCCCCAGGCTGCGAACCCTGCAGCTGGTTGAAAATGTCACTTTGATGGTCGGAGTTCAAGGTCATTGCAAACCCTGCAAGGTTGCAACTGCGAACCGCGAAGGGTTTGATAACACAGGGAGGCGAAGCCCACTAAGGGGCTCCATATGGTGGTTGTTCAAAATTATTGTGTCTCGAAACGGCCTTTCTTGCACGAAGTACACGTCCGCAGCTCCAGCTGGAAATCGCCACTAACCCTTATTTCCAACCGAAACACTCCACAGGAAACTCTACAAATAGAATTCACCAAATTTCCGGACGCAACCCAAATCTGCAAGGGTCTTGGGTCCTTCAGATTTGTGCTCCCTTCCCCTCTACTCACGGGCAAAGCACTCGCCTAGATCAACACCCAGGCAAAAGCGCAGGCACAGCAGGGACAAGGCCGCGGGGCCTCGCGGCTGGACAGCTTCCTTTGGTTTGCCTTCAAACCCAGGTGCATCTCCATAACACACCCAGGTGAAAGTTCTGATGGCAGGCAGCTGACTCATCTCAGACCCTTTCCGGCAAAGTGTGACAATCTCGAAGAGCAAAACTCTAATGAATTAATTTCCTGTGAAATTGTTCAGGGATCGTCACACTGTGATAAACCTGGGCCTGCTCGACTATTTCTCCTGCTTACCAATGTTCCTTCAGTCCGGGAAGCACTTTGCTGTCTTGCGCTGCTCAAGTCCTCCATTTAGGTCTCCAAAAAAAACAAGTCAAAGCTCAGAAGGGCTTCTTGATATATCCACACCAATTTCTGGGCCAAAAAAGACTGCCCCCCTTGCGTCTCTTCCCACCTCCCGGCGCTTCCAGGGCAGCCGCCTCCTGGCGCAAGTCAGAGCCTTGGCTGGATCCTCCGGGCTTCTACATGTCCACTGGTCTTGACGCGTCGAACAAGACATACGTGGCACCCAAGAAAGCCGCGAAACCCCGGACATTTCTTCTTTTGGGGGACCCTAACAAGGTGGGCTCCTTCCATCCGCAAAAAAGGCAGCGAGGGCCCCCCGCAGCCCCCGAAAGGCGCAGCCGGAACGCCTCGAAGTCCTGCAGCGCCGCGTGGTACCGGAACTCCCGCCAGCACGCGTGGCCGCGACGAACCTGAGGCTGCCCGCAATTTGAGGGGTCTTGGGGGGTGGCTTAAAGGGAAACCACCTGCAAAACACCCTTTTTTTGGAGGGCTCCCTCATTTTGAGATGTCACAAGCCGAACAGAGCTGTATCTTTGGGAGCAATGGACATCTCTGGATCCTCATGATCATCACTTTGACTTCAGCCGTCTGCGTCAGCGAATCTGAGGGTTTGTGCACTACACCCTGGGATTACACCGTTCAAAATTACACGGTTCTATCCGGACATATGGCTAAATGGGGTCAATACCCAGGGGGTGTATTCCCAGGGTGTAATACAAAAACCCTTAGAGCGAAGGCATGTCCGTTCCTCAGCCAGGCGCTAGAACCTCCGCCCGGTGCTCCGCCTGTCATTTCTCTCCGGGGGTCTGTCTCAAAGGGAGAACCGTTGGAAGGTGGGAAAGGGGAACCAGAAAGAACCCGAGCCACCTGGGGAAAACGGAAAACCCAACAAAAGCCTCATTTGACATTTGCAGGAAACATCCAGCGCGCCTTGGCAGTCTCGCAGTTTGCGTCACCTGGGCAAACCAGCCAAAGTTTCAGGTGAAGCTTAGACAGTCCCAACCACATGGCTGCGGATCACCGGCCAGAGCTTCCTTTACACGGTAGGGGGTTCTGGATGGACTCATTAAAAACCCGTGCTGCTTACAACTCAGACCCCGCACCAACATCTGTCGAGCATCTGTCGAGCCCCTCCCCGGCTGCACCTTGGGCGTTGCTCCGAAGGTCCTCACGCCTTGCCGAGTGGTCTCGACGTCAAAAAGCAGCCCCTGCTCGAGTGGGACGTGACCCAGGCTTCGGGACAGGAAGATTATGACAAAGGCTGTCCAAAAAAATTCGGAGAACAAATCCCTGGATGTCCACTTCAAACCAACCGAGGATGCTTTTCTTGGGCGCGCTCGCCAGAGAGCCCTTGTGCTTGGGAACATCGGCTCCCGCCTCCATCTTCCCTCAGCCGGCTCCTCGCGCACAATGTTTGCCATGGTCGAAACTGAACACAGGCTGCTTCCCTTGCTGGCTAGGGTGAAGTGCCAAAACACACACGCACACGCACAAACAAACACAACACATGGGAAAGGCCGAGAAACAAAAACAAAGCACAAGCTTGGCGGACCATCCCAAACAAAAGTGCAGCTTTCAGAAAGTCTAGCTTGCGGCCTCTAGCCCTGAGCGCGCCTCACAAGCCGCGCCCAGTGAGAGGCTGTCCTGGGGCCCAGGGGATCGCTTTTTGAAGGGAAAACCAGGGAGACCACTATTTCGAGCATACCAAAGACATATTCTTGATTGCTAACTCTTGCCACCTGCGCCCAGAGTCCACTTGCCCTGCCAGCTTTGTGTCCACGCCATCAAAGGATGCCGGCAAGCTGTGCCTCGCAAATCAGCATGTGCGGCTTTTGGGTTGTGAAGTTTCGGGTTGGCTTCTCTGCAAGTCACACAAAGTGGCATGATGTCGCTGACTGGACATTGCGTGAGTCACGAATCGCAACAAGAGATATTCCGGTAAAATTATCCAAAGAACAAGCAAAAATGGCTGCAATTGAAAGGGGAGAGATGTATCAGTAGCACTCATACACATTGTGGAAAAGTACAAGGACGCCAACCATGACAAAACAACCACGACCACAAAGCGTCCTTGGATCAGTCAGGCCTTGCTTCCACAGCATCAAGAAGGTCAAAGTCGAACATTGCCCTACCAGTCCATTGGACAAACTGTGGCAACAGATTTGCGAGGTCCTTCGGCTAAAAGCAAAGTCCATGGGTCCGGTGCTTGCAGCGTACACATCTGCGTACAGTGGCCGTTTGTGGCTTGGGACACAGAGTAAGCTTCCGTCTGCCTTCTGGCTCAGGCTACGAGCTGTGAGCCGACGGCGGGGCCAAATGGTCAAAGTCCAATCAATCACGCTGAGGAGGAGGACAATGAACAACCCTATCGCCAGCCTTAGCAGTTCCAGTAGTACCTGGGTGATTGGAACCGCCCCAGCTTTGCCGGCCCGGCTATACCGTCTCAGTAACATTGCGTTACTGCATGCCATTGCCTCCACCCCTATGATGAGTTGAGCAAACTTACTGCTCATGATGGACAAGCCGTTTGATGCCATCAAGGCCCTTGCCCATCACCCACCCAACTTTTCTCAAGCGCGCGCCTACCCGTCGGCCCGGGGGATCGGCCCGTGCCCTTGAGCCAAGCGCGCTGAAGTTCTAAGTCAGAGTCCTGAACCCCGCGAAATATGTTCAGTCAATCCGACTCACCTTTCCGGACGTCAGCCCCGGACTGGACACCGTATTCCATTTACGAAACTTGCAGAGTATCTGCACGCACACGCGCACACACACACACACTCACACTCACACTCACACACACTCACACACACACACACACACATGTTTTCAGAAGACTGAGCTGCGCACTTCCAAACTCCAACGTGTTTTGTTTGACACATCCTGACTCCAAAAACCAAAAACTCAAAAAACTCTGAAAACCAGGATCCCTATATTTCTCCCTCAAACAGCATTGAATCATTCCCTTCAAACGGGTTAAAATGAAAAGCCCTGGGAAACTCCAAACATGGCAAGAACTTCGAACCCAATGAACATAGGCCTGAACCACCCGGAAAAAGAAATGCAATTTGTCCGGCCAGTGACAAGGAGCCTTCGCTCGTTACGGCAAACCGAGCAGCTTCCCTCTTGGCGGTTGGAGGTGTCCGGGGGTTTCCCATGTCTACAAGAATGGCTCCAATCCAAATCACCCATCCAAACCTCTTCCGGGATACCTGAGCAAAAGGGGAGCCACAAGGGGGGAAAAAACCCTGAACATGGAAAAAAACAACAGTTTTCGAGGATTCCCATGTTTTCAGACGCGCGAATTCCTTTGTCTCCAAGGGGATCCGGAGGCGAAACCTCCAAAAAAAGGGCGCCGCCTCCAGCTCCTCGGCCCGCAGCTCGCAGTGCCGCTGCCGCAGCCGCGCAAGGTCCCGCCGCTCCTCCGGAAGTTCCCCGTGGACTCTACCAGCCTCCATGACCCTTAAAAAATGGTTGGTCATTACACAAAATTAAGGGGTCATTAGTCATGGACCCATTTAAGGGTCATGGAGACTCTAGGTGGGTGTGGGTCAGAATTAAACCTCCAGACATTGGCTCCATTTGCCGGGGGTCCATTTGGGCACCTATTCTTGACCCGGAAACAGCGTGCCAGATTGATCAAATGATTCGGGAAGAGAACAATGTTGGATCCATAGAACCCAACATCGATCGCCTCGAAAAAGCACGCACCCTTCTAGCACGCAATCCATGTGCCTTTGGGCTATGGCAAGGCCTGCGACATATCCCTCGCCCCGCATCCGGAACCGCTCCTCGCTGGGGGACCTGGGCGTCTCAGTCCTGAACTGTCTGAAAGAGATACGATTGAGTCCGAGTGAGCGAACCAAAGGAATCACTTGATGAGCGGGGAAACCCTTGTGATTCATGGCTTCGTCTTGTCTTGCATGTGGAATGTTGACGATGCGGCACACTCCCAGCTTGAAAAAGACACGGAACACATTCGCTCCCACTTGTCGATTGACTCAAGAGCGCCTGTGCCAAGCCCTCTGCTCAATCCCGCCGACAACAACAAGATATTTCCTCTTTCCAACAATCATGGAAGTGGACGGGAGGGTTTCGGAAAACTACCCTTTGCACACTACTTCCATGATCTTTGCAAAAAGGGGTACACGGTTACACGCAAAAGCCGGCGGGACGTGGCCGTCCTCGTCTCCTGGGCGCTCTTTGGCACCTCTGCATGGCTCTCGACGCTGTCGATGCCTGCAGACCTGCGGGCGGCACTCAGCCGCCAAGATTCCAGGAGGTCTGCACCGGGATGCCACTTTTTGACTACCCCAAAATGACTCGGTCATGTGACCCCAAGAAGGGAACCCCTGGGTTTAAGTCGATTTGGCCGGTAAAAGAAGAACCCTGTCGGCACCTGTTTCTGGGGCATTGCTTCATCTACTTGGCCCTGAACCCGCCATCCCAGCCTGAGCTGAGGCTGGGCAACCAATTCCCGGCCACCCATGTCCTTTGGCTATCGTGAGTGCAAAGACTGAAACGCATGGGATGCCTCTTTTTGTTGAGGGTACCCCCCCATTTTGCGGTTCTTTGCAGGGCAAACCAACGCATATAGGAGACATCGATTCCGGGATTTTTTATTCAAGCCCACCATAGCCACATTCAAGCCTGAGTCTGGCAAAGCGACTAGGCCTAGTAACAATTTCAGACTTTCGAAAACCCTGGAAGGATGCTGTGCGCCCCTAGAGATATCGACCGCATTGAGGCCAGAATCACATCTGTCCCTGCAGCGCTGGCGCCACAGCTGGACCTGCTCCAGGAGCGTCCAGCGGTGCGCCTGGGCCCATTAAGGGCGCCCATTTGTAGTGGATGCCTTTGTTGCTTGTAGGGTGGTTGATGGATTTGTATATTGGTGGTGGGTATGTTTGAATGGTGGAGCCACGTTGCAGTTTGGGCGTGCAAATTGTGATGGTTTGCACTTGCTTGAGTGGACCCCATGTTTTTGCTGCGTCAAAAAAACAGCCCTTGTTTTGTGCATTTGTACAACCCATTTGTTTTGCTTGATTTTTCCTGTTTCATTTATTTTAGAAAAGATAGAAACTTGGCCAAGAACATGTCACAAGCTTAGCCTTCGAACTGCGTCAGCCAACTCTAGACCCTCTAGGAAGAGAGAACTCCTGGATGGAACATTCTTCGAGCCATCCACATTGGACTGGCCAACCAAAGCACATTGCTGAGCACGGTAGCTCATTGATCTTTTCCTGTTGACTGTTGCGTTGAGCATGACGTAGTTGTTTAGCATCTCAAATTCTTGACAGGTATTGAGCGTCAAACCGTTGATCGAAAAGCATGACCAGTTGAGCATGAAACGGCGCTTAGCATTGAATTCGTTGGTGGGCATGAATTTCAATTAGGGAGCCTTTGGGGGACCTCATTTAGGTGGGGATTTGTGTCCACCAACCGCTTTTCCAAGGGAGGTTCCCGATGAAAATTCCTAGCCTGGGAAATCCATCCGTCCTCCACCAACTCCAGGCGGCTGGAGAGAGCCTAGCCCGCGGCTTGGGCTTCCTTGGGCTTCCTCGTGAACTTTCGGCTGGCAACTTGATGGTCGCTTCCCTCTATTTTGGTGGAAAATGCAACATGCTTCGTATGGGCAAAATGTATCTTTTAAGGAGCCCTGCGGGAAGCATGTGGGTTTCTCCATTTCCTTCTGAGACATCCGACTGGTAACCCGCGCCGATTCCGCCTTCAGCTGCCGCCGCTGTTGCTCACAGGTCTCCTGAAATAAACCCTGTGTGATTCGTCCATCTTCGATATATCTCCGACCAAAACAGCTAGAGGCCCCGGCATGAACATAGAACCTACAAATAAACATACGCCCCTTTTGGAGGAATCTCCTTTTGCGGTTAGAGGAATCTCCTTTTGCGGAGTCCCTTCTTGGACGCACCCATGCATGTTAGATCAGTCTCTCTCTCTCTTTCTCGCTCTCTACTCCGAGGGGCATGGCCCGGCACTCCATATGCGATCTCGGCGACACCGGGCCCCTTTTTGCGCAGCGGCGCAAGCGGCGTCTACTCGGGTGATGGCCTTGAGCGGGGGCAATGCGAACACGAACACGTCTCCAATCGGACTCTTGGGGTGTCCAAGACTTGACATAAAGCACTTTTGGACAGCTCACCGCAGCTGGGTTCAAGTCCTTTGTTTGTTTGGCCCAAGACTTCGCCAGAACATTGACCAAACAAATCATGCACAAAAGGAAACTCACAAGTCAGAAGGAAAGGAACATACAACTAAACACTCTTTTGGAGATCCGACACGTCCATGTTACTACTCCTTCCACTTGCAGCTTCTGTGCCGGAATACCAGGGCTGAGATGCCTGCTACTCGTCATCGTCACCTTTGCCCTCTGTCCTGAAGCAAGCGCCAGGGCCCGCGGTTTCCTGCAAACTTGCTACGCAATCCCTTCAGAGTGACATGGAATCGAAGACCACTTTCCTCTTGGATAGGGTCTTTGTGCACTTCCATTGGTGGGATGGTTTGTCACCTCGTTTTTTGGGCGTGCTTTGCTGCGCAACTCCGAGATCCGCCCGAGCCTGCTGAAACGCCAAAAGCTGCACTTGGACATCAAATGGAACCCCAACCAAGGAATCCCTTCCGGCCATAGGTCCATGACTATCTGTGGTCCCAAGTAAAAACGTTTTGACCTTGCCAGTTTCTTTGGGAATCCGTGCCAGGTGGTCTAATATTTCAAAGGGATTGAGGACCAGAGCTACCAACACCAAGGGGCTTTTCACCACGGCACAAACAAAAAAAGGCTGAATTCTTAGCCCCCCAGATCGCCTGCGTTTCCGCTTTCTCTCCGCATCGTCGTCTGAATCCGATTCCTGGAAACGGCGGCGAAAAGGCGGCCTCTGTGCATGCCATGTGCCAAAAGGACAGCGATCACCGAATATTTCCTGAAAGACCTGCTTTCTCTGGCTTATTGTTTGTGTCCTCCGCAGGGATCAGCTAGGGGAGTTTAGTGCGGGTGTTTGTCCCGGTCCGGTGCGACTTACCTGGGCTTTAGGCCTTTAAAGCCTTAGCTTGGTTTGGGGTCATCACCGTGCAGAACTTAGGTGTCGGTTTGGGATCAACATATCATGGTTTAGGGTTGCGCGGTGTCCGACTGCGTAGTTTTGAGTCATGATGAAAACCTTGTATGGCTACGTAGGGATACTAAAAAAAGCCGCATACCCACTGGAATCAAAGGTATTTTGTCAAATTTCACTCGACTCAACTCCACAAGTGTGTTGCTTGTGCTTGGGGAACATTTCCCCCTTGAACATAACCCAGCAAAAAAACTCACTATAAATTGGACCAACCATTGTTTGGGGCTCACCTTATAACGACGCAACGGGGGTCCTGGATTTTTTCCACACTTCACGCCAAACCGGTCGAGACCGGCATCTGGTCTCGAGCGACTGTCTCCTCTCCTCGTCGGCTTGGTCCATTGTCGTCCGCGGGGATTTGAGCATCTCTTTCACCTCGACGCGAGAAGGGGCCCACTGCTAGCCAAGGTTTCCCGCAAGGGGCCAGGAAAACCATGGGATAGCAACTTTGAAATAGTTGCTTCAACCATTTTGGTTGGTTCAGCAACCTGCAACTATGGCTATTTTGCGGGGTTAGTTGGTTAAACAATGCTTGCAACCCTCTCGGGTCAAAGCAAGGTCTACACGTCTTGCACGAGGTTTGGGGTGTCTCTCCGTCTTACAGAAACACATCGTGGGTTCCGGCAACTTCCCTGCCTCCCCACCCAACTCTATCCAGCCTTCTCTGCTCTCTCAGACTGCCCAAATTGACCTGGGACTCAGTGTCGGATCAGCCAATCACGTGACCTCATTCACCTGACGCCAATTCACAACAGCAATACGAGGCAATAGGGTGGCCCCTCATCTATTTTGCAAATGCACAAACGCGTTCAGAAGCACGACCTTCCTTGCTTGAAATCTGGGCATCTATGCTAAGACAGTTTCCAACTCCCCAACCCCCCCCCCGCAAAACGAGGTGTCTTGCCTGCTTATGGAAAGGCTGTAGAGCGTCCCTCACCCTCCGATACGTTGAATGAGCCGGCACGTCGGGCTTCCCGACGCTCACCGCGCGGCTGCGAAAATATCTCCGCCTCCTCGTCCATCGAACGGCCCTGACGTTCCCGTTCCTGGCGTTCCTGGCGTTCGCGTTCCTGGCGTTCCTGCTCCCGGGCCGCGGCCTGAACGGATTGCCCCCACTCCTCAAATCCGCCAACATTGCTGGGAGGTCGGGGGGGGGGGTGTCTCCTTGCTTGATTCACAGCACTCCACGCATGATGCAATCCGCCGGCCATTTTATTTGGCTCAAGCCCTGGTAGCTTGTAACTCTCACAGAGAGCAAAACAAGACCGCTTTGCTGACTTGTGGTATTGAGACACTTTGTTCCTATTGGGAACCAAACACTGCTTACATAGATATTTGGTCATTTGCCTCTTACATGTCATTCTTGGGCAACCTCAATTCTGGTAGCAGAGCGGGTCTCCGAAAACAGGATGTGGAGTGAAGAGGGCTTCTATGGAGCAGAACAGCGGCTTTCCTTGGAACCCATCATAACCGCGTGAGTACCTTTCGATGAACACAAACTGCCCCCATCGTACGACGGCCGTGTTAATTGGCTTCAGTTATGAAGATCTTGTTCGGGTCTGGATGCGGCAAGGCCCACTTCTCAAGAACCGTCTCATAGAAGATGCAGCAATTCGTGGCCTTTGTCACAAAAATCGGGATTTTTACAGGTTGCGAGCATCATCCCGAAATCACCCACCTGAGTATGTTCAGGCTGTTGAATACAACCATGATGCGGGGTCCGCCGCAAGGAGCCGCAGCACCCATAATGCCCAATCCCACTTCCCTCGATGCAGGACTACAAGAAAACTTTGCCAGGCTTAGGCAAGAAACAAGAGCCTTCACAGGCTTTTCCACTGTCAAACAACATTCTTACACCGTCTTCATCATACAGATTGAGCTGAACAAGAAATCACTCTCAAAGGCATCACGCTCCCTCTGTATACTTATGAGACCATAAAGGCCCAGCGCTACGACCTCAACGTTGCAACCCGAACTTCTCTTCAGGATTATGAAGAAGGAGTAGAAGGCTTTTGTCCATTAGACGATGAAGAAGCCTTTTGGCAGTTGGAAGACCCCGATGCTTTTGTTCTGAAAAGATTCCAACGTCGGACCCTCAAGTCTGGCAAGAGGCGAAAAGGCGTAAAGCAAATCCAAGGCCAAGGGAAAGGATTCCGGCAGGGACGACAAAGGTAAAGCAGAAAATCACGCCGATGCGCAGGAAGCTTGGCCGAAATTCTGCGATGTGTTTGACATAAAAATACCGAGGAGTGAAGGGGAAACGCAAGGGAAGTGCAGGGAAAATGAAGGGGACATGAACGGGAAAGAAAGGGAGAAGGGAAATGCAAGAACATGCAGGGGACAGGAAGAGGAAAGCAAAGGGAAATGAAAGGGAAACGAAGGGGAACTGAAAGGGAAATGAAGGGGAAAGGAATGAGACATGCAGGGGGGCAATGAAAGGGACACAAAGGACGAGGAAATCAAAGAACACAAAGGGAGATGTAGGGAAGATGACAGGCAATGAAAGATACATAGAGGAACATGAAGCGGACATACCGAGAAAATGACAGGGAAATGAAAAGGGAATTGAAAGGAAAGGAAGGAGCCATGACGAGGAAATCATAGGACATGACGGGACATGACAAGGACAGGACGGGGAATCAAGCCAGTGGTAAGAAGACAATTCAGGGGTCCTGAAAAAGCATGACACGGAAATCGAGGCAACTCAGGGAGACATAACGCTGCAATTTAAACAGAGAGAGAGAGAGAGACAGCGAGAGAGAGGGACAGAGAGACACAAAGAGAAAGAGAGAGACAGAGAGAGACAGAGAGAGACAGAGAGAGAGACACAGAGAGACACAGAGAGAGAGAGAGAGAAGAAAAAAAAGACAGAGAGAGCGAGAGAGAGAAAGACAGAGACAGCGAGAGAGAGGAAGAGAGAGAGACAGAGAGAGAGAGAGAGACACACACACAAAGAGAGAGACAGCGAGAGAGAGAGAGAGAGAGACAGAGAGACACAGAGAGAGAGAGAGACACAAAGAGAGAGAGAGAGAGACAGAGAGAGAGAGAGAGAGAAAGACAGAGACAGAGAGAGAAAGACAAAAAAGAGAGAGAGAGAAAGACAGAGAGAGAGAGAGAGAGAGATAGAGAGACAGAGAGAGACACACAAAGAGAGAGAGATAGAGAGAGAGAGAGAGAGACAGAGAGAGCGAGAAAGAGAGCGAGAAAGAGAGCGAGAAAGAGACGGAGAGAGAGAGAGAGAGAGAGAGACAGGGGAGAGAGGAGGGGGGAGAGAGACGCAGTGAGAGGAGGTAAAGAGACAGAGAGAGAGGAAGAGACAGAGACAGAGAGAGAGGGAGAGAGAGGCAAAGAGAGGGAGAGAGAGGGAGAGAGAGGCAGAGAGAGGGAGAGAGAAAGCGGGAGAGAGAGAGAGAGAGGGAGCGAGAGCGGAGAGAGGCAGCGACAAGGGAAAGAGAGGGATAGAGAAGGGAGAGAGAGAGAGAGAGAGAGAGAGAGGACAGAGAGAGGATGGGGAGGAGAGAGGGAACAAAGGGGGGAACGGAAAAGAGAGAGAGAGAGGAAGAAGGAGAAAAGGGAGAGGGCAATGTCGGCGGAGTGAGCCAGTTGTCAAAAGGGAAACCAAATCTCAGATTAATCAAGGCATTCTGGAGCATTCAGAAATGGACAGGCTGATGCGGCTGATTATGGGTGAACAAAGTAAACAAATAGAACAGCGGATGGTCATAATATGAGTATCATTGTGTTGTACTGATGGTTTTCACAATTGTTGTCTGGGATCTATTCCTCTCTCAATTATTCATTGCCATTTTATTTTACCGTTATTTGTGTTATTTTCAATTTGCAGATCTTCTATTTGTGTGGAGATGAGGCCCTGTCCATCACGTTCCACTCTTCCCGCTCATCCAAACAAACAGGCTAAACAAAATGAAGAGTGGGAAGGCAGAGTGGGTCATGAGTCTCTTGTCCAGCCGGCATCTCTTCTCCTCGAACTTATGATGGTCAACCTTCCAGAAAGCCAAGTATATGTCAAAGTGTATGTTATTAATACATCCATAAGTTAACCATATGGCTCTTCAAGTCGAGTCAACATGTTCTCCCTGTAGACCTACGGAGATTAAAGGTGGCATGTTTTCTTCAACCATCCCATCACTATCGACGTTTATTCGGCTTTATGGCGTACGTGGTCATGGGTGGTGAGAAGAGATCCAAGAGATTCATTCATTGGTCACTTCATGCTCTTCCCTATCTCGCTTCTTTCATTCGCCTGGGAAGAGATGACCGGGGGAGTGGCCAAAGGATGATGAAAGTTTGACCTGACCAGGAAGGACCTTTATATGCTCATGTAAACCATTTAACTGCCAATCAAACCCTGAGCACTTCACCTTGCTTTTCTAAGTTAGCTTGCATTGCTGATTTCCGGTTCATATCTTTACAATTTGAAACAGAACATCATCATAGGAAAATAACAACATGACCAGACAAATAGATGATTGACATGCGTGAGAAATGAATGCATATTACAAACAAAATAGACAAACAAAAATAGATAAACTACTACACAAACCAAAGTACATAAATAAGTAAGAAAATAAATCAAGAAAAATGAACAAATACACAAACGAGTAGAAGGACCTAAATGATATCATCGAACATAACTCTAGATCTATGAGCTTCATTTACTCTCTTTTGGAGCACGCACCCCATCCATTTGGGCTTCCCTTGCAACGGGTTGATGTGCTGTTTGGATCCTTTGCACTACTGCACTGAAACAGGATTGGCACTTGGTTTTAGCGGATGTGGGCACATCTATTTGCAGCATAGTCCTACCCGAATGAGTACCTTCACCAAGCCCGCGCAAAGCCTACCGGAAGCCTCAGAGTCTAACGCATACCCGGAGCCTGACCAAAGCACACGCGAAACTTCAAAGCCGCCGGACTGCAAAAAGCCCAGCAATCCTACGCGACACCTCGTTTGGCAGCACTGCATATAACCCCGGTCCGCCGGTCGCTACATATCTTCTGTCACTGACTGGAAAGTGCGTATCCTCAAACCAAGGCGAAGCTATGACATGCGTCACCAGTACCCTCCCAACAGAAGCGGAACCTACAAGGGGCTCCCCGGTTTGGACCATTTTCCAAGGACCCTTTTGCAGGTTCTATTTCTGTTTGCAGCAATAGAAATCTTCTCAGGCGATGCCTCACGCCGCGCCTGCTTCTGCTCACTGGCCTGCTTCTGCTCACTGGCCTGCTTCTCTATAAGCGCCTGCCCCCAAACTCCAAGCGACAGGGAACGGAGCGCTTTCGACCCAGGCCTGCTCTTCCGGGGAGAGACCGCCACTTGTTGGCTCGCTCTCGACCGCCTGAGAAAAACGGGCTGAGATTGCAAAATGCGCAAGCCATGTGAGTCACATGGCTAAACCTGGTCCAAATGGTGAACCGAGAACCATGTAAAGAATTAGAGAGGCGGCCGCAACTATTTCTGGCTGGGACTGCCCCTTACTAACCTTCATATACCCGGGTTTTGATTGTGGCTCATGTGCCAATCCGGCTCGGCTGGAGAACAGCCAGGCGCGAGGTCAGGGGTTGGCTGTTGGTCGAGGGATTTGTGGTCTCATTGCTAGAGCTGAATGCAAATGGGCCACCCATGAAAGCAACGAAACTCGTGAATGCCAAGCTGGTTCTCTTTGCAGTCTGGCAAGGTTGTGCCATGTCCATCAATACAGGGGTCCCCAGTTTGGATGGTAAGGAAAAAAGGGAATCAATCTAATTCAAGAATCCTTTCTGTCAAGACACCGAGCTTGGCCGATCTTCTGCCCTCGAGAGAGTGTCGAAGCGCGGCGCGTCAAATGGTCGCGGCGATTTGGCCTGAGACGGCGTGGGACATTGGGTCCTGTGAAGCTGCACAGCCCCCTGAAAAGTTCCTAACCACGTTTGCACCCAGAATGGGGTGTCTGTGAATACCCCGTTTTACATAGCCCTTGCGCAAATCATTCTAATGTTTGTGGGTAAAAAAGAAAGAGCCACAAGGCCTGAACAAGGGTACTCGCAGATCTCGGTATGGGACTCCAAGAAAATTCCAGAAGCCCCCCCCCAACGCATGGAACGTGAACGGCACTCATGGTTTGTGCCATTGTCCTTTAGAGGCCTCCATGTCTTTTTTCGGGAGATTACGTGTGTGTGTGTGTGTGTCAAAATCTGGGGACATCTGAAAACGCCCAGATGGGCATGGCAACCTCAAAAGCTCCACACGGCCATGTCATGCCCTCAGCGCCACGCAGGCTTGGCGCCTCGCTGCTCGCGCAACATGCCTGCGCGCGGCACAAGGAAGGTGGAAGCAGATCTGCAAGTTGGTGGCCCAGCTTCGGGAAGGAAGGACCAACCCTCAGACTGCAAACGGAAGTCTGGTGGATCTTCAAGTTTTAGACCGAAGTTGCCTTTTTTCCTCAAGGTAGACCAATGGAAACGTGGACACATCGGGGTTCCCAAGTTTAGGAAGAGCCCCACATCGCTGCGCTGGGAAAAGAACCCCCATGGCCTATGATCTTCTTCAGGTGCTCGGCCTCCAAGGAAGCCTTCTCCACCTGAGGAAGATCGGGACACCTACCCATTTTGGGGTTCCATTCGGGTCCGCTGGCTTCAGCAGTGTGAAGACCGTTTAATGGAGCCAATTCTTGAAACTCGCTATGCAAATTCGGAGGGGTCGGAGGGGTCCTTGTGGTCTCCCTCACAGCCAGTTTCGGGGTCCCCATTCGCCTCTTCGCCTCGCAGCACGTGCCGGCCTCCAGGTAAGCTCTGCCCGTGCTGAACATCGGCTGGAAGCCCTGAGGGCGCGACCCAAGACTCGGTGCCCTTCAAACAGCTCCCTCACTTATATGTTCAACCCAGTTTGGTAAGTAGGTAACCATGGTTGTAACTGGGGTAACTGGGATTGGCTCTCTTGTAATCATGCCTACCTGCTTACTTAAGTTGCTGAAACATTCAAGGCAAAAGTGGGGTGGCTCTTTTTGGTGTCCCTTAAACCCTCCTTCTGGCTGAATACAAGGAGTGTCCAACAACAAGGCAAATTATTGTTGGGTCTCTGGTTTTTGGAAACACCCGCCCTGAGGAACCTCCTCACATGGAAACTTCAGCGAAAACAAACACCCACCTTGCCAGAACACCAAGGCCTCAAAGGCCGTGGAAAAACTGGGGGGAGGTCTCAAACAAGTTGGGGCCAAAAGCGGCCGACACTTCCGCCACCTATTGGGGCCGAGAGGCGGCGTCCACCGCCATGGCCATCATGAGCTTCTGCTCCGTCTCCAGCTTCCTCCGCCTGAAAAGAAACCGCCCTCTGGAGTGTTCTTGGCCCTTTTTGGGCCAATCCAGTCAGGAAGTGAGGAAGAATCTCGGGCTAGCCTGTGGCTCGCAGGAAGTTGAGCCCTAAACTGAAATTGAGAGGGTCGAAATGGGTCCTCTCTGCCAACTTCCGGCCGCTTCTTGGCGAGGGAAACCAAGCGCAGGAAAGGAGACCAGCCCGAAAAGGGGGGAGAGTTCTCTTTGAGTCCCCTTCAAAGCCCCCCACTTCAGGGGGCACCCTCGAAAAGCATGCCATCGGCCATAGGCATGAAATGAGCTGGTGCCCCTGAGGCTGTGGGAGTGACATGTCAACCATTGGAAGGCACGCCAGAGCTTGCCTTGACCACTGGCTAAGAGCTTGGGCCGGGAAGAGGGGAAGAGGGGAAGAGGGGAGAAGATAAAACGAGTCCAAACTGCTTTTCATGCATCACTCGTGCTATTCACAGGCCTCTAGGCTTCTCTGGCTGCTGCTCGCAAACGCGAGGCTGGAAGTGATCCGAGAATGTGTCTGGGAATTGCCAGACTGAGGAAGGTTCTGCACCGGAAGTCAACCAAGAACCTGCCTCCATTTACATAAAGCCATAAAATGACACCTGCGGGCTGGGGGCACTTTCCTGCCAGCATCCATGCCAAGCCTTTCTCGGAAGAGCTCCTCGGTTTGCGCGAAGGCCTGCATCGGCAAGGATCTCTGTCACAGGCCACATTGCCTCACCACAGGAAACTCACTCATTAAGAACTGGCGACCGAAAGGTGAGGCTTGAACCACACCAAAAACAAAATATAGAGGGACACCCCGCAGCAAAAACTTCATGGCGTGGATGTCAAAGAAATGCTGCAGCGCTCGTGGGCGCACCTGACAAAGACTGAAGCTGCAGTGCATGAAGGATGCTTACACTGCCAACAAAAAGGCAGGCATCAGGCTGCGCACATAAAGAAGCTCTCCAACAGTGTCTGACTCAGGACAATTCCAAGGGAGATTAAGGATAAACAATATACACTTGAAGAAATCTCCGGCACACTGGGAAGGCATGCACAAAGGAAGCGCCTCCTTCTTGGATTTGCCCTCTGTGCGCATAATGTGCAGCTGCTTCGCCACAAACTGGCGTTCGAAGTTAGCTGCGTGTCAAGGAGTCAACAAGGAGAGCCCTTGGGACCGAGCCTGGTGCCTAATCCCTTGCGTTGGGCCAGGCAAAACTTGCAGTGGGTGGGTTTGCGAGCACAGACAAACCCCAAATCTGAGCGGACCTTACAAGGCGCCCAACATGTCAGAGGATTTGGTTTTAGTGAGCGAAAACCTGTGGTTTGCCCGAATTCCCCTTCCACACAACTCGCCATTCCTGCTGACTCATGGGCTGCCGGACTCACTAGTGCTCCAATAGGGCCGCTCGTGAATCAAACAAAATCACCCCACCTGCATCACGGGATGGTCGTCCCGGTAAGAGTCGTTGCCCACAGACCAGTCGTTGCCATCAACATAGCAGTCCTCGGGAGAAAATGCTGCCCTAGGCACAAAGGCCATGGCAAGACAGCAAGCCGTCTTGCCTGCTGATCTTGGGGTGGCATCTGTCCTGGAAACGCAGGTCCGGATACTTCTTCAACAGGAAGCTCACCTGGGAGCTTGGCATCTCGACATCAAATCAAGGCTCGCATGGACTTCCACTTCCTCTATCTCTTGCGTTCGCTGCTTTCTCCCGCATGCCGCATTGGGATCTTTTCGAGACCCCACGCAACGCAAGCATGTGCAGTCACACACACACACACACTTAAACTCCAGATGGAGGGTGCTAATCCTTTCGAGTACAGCTGATGAGTCTCGAGTACAACTGATGAGTCTCGAGTACAACTGATGAGTCTCTCATCGTTCGAGTACAGCTGGTGAGTCTCGAGTACGCTGGGGTTCAGCTGGTTTTGGAGAAAAGGGCAAAAAGGGGACCTTTGTTTGGGGTGGGCCCGCCAGCTGCCATGACAACGGCCCAGGCGCAGCCCCGCAGGTACGTTTGGACCCGGACACCGGGGGGCGTCTTCGTTGGCTGGAGACCCCCCGGGCCGGCTCCAGCCCCCTGCTGTCGTGAAAAAAGGATTGTATGGTGGCAGGGTATTCTGCCACTCCGCACACACACGCCCCTCAAAGAGGGGCGAGAAACACTTTTTCGGGGGGGAGAAGAAGCGCCCGAAAGACGGACGAAGACCCCAACAGAAAACAAACGGAGCAAGCACCCAAAAGAAACAGAAAGCCCCACGTTGGGTCTCCGCGGGCAAAACCCCAACCAAGAAACACGAAAAACAGGGGAACCCGAGTTTTAGGGTCACCGCCGAGGGCAAAAACCCCAAACAGCCCAGAAACCCTCCTAAACCTGGAAGACGACCACCACCGCAAAGTTGAAGACCGAGAAGAGGACCAGGCCATCCCTAAACGGGCGAAGAGGAAGAACAGGAGGTAGTTGGAAAAAGGGGGGGGGGGGAGGAAACGAAAGAAAGGAAGAGAGAAAGAGAGAAAGAAAGAAAGAAAGAAGGAACGAAAGAAAGAACGAAAGAGAGAGAGAGAGAGAGAGAGAGAGAGAGAAGCGTATTTAGGGCGTCGCAACCGCCCGGGGGAAAAAAAAAAAGGAGCAGGGTGCGTATTTAGGGCGCCGCATCCCGCCCGGGAAGAAGGAAAAACGAAGAGAGAGGAGGAGGAGAGAAGGAGAAGGGAACAGGAGAAAAGGGAAGGAAACGAGAGAAGGGGAGAAGGAGGGAAAGAGGGAAAGAAAGAAAGAAAGAAAGAAAAAGAAAGAAAGAAAGAAAGAAAGAAAGAAAGAAAGAAAGTAAGTGTGCGTATTTAAGGCGACGCATCCCGCCCAGAGAAACACGAGGACAAAGCCAATGCTCGAGGAAGAGGGCGTCAAATCCCGCAGAGGGGCCATGAGGAAGAGCACGATGAAGCAACGGTAGGGAACGAAGACGGCAAGCCAAACAGCGCGAGGGGACCGAGGACTTCGAACAAATAGGCAAACAAGAAGAGGACGACGACGAAAAAGGCAAACAAAGCGGCGGAGAAGAAGCCATCCCTAAACGGGCCAAGAAGAAGAACAGCAACACGCGGAAGACGGAAGGCCGGAAGAAGGAACGGGAGGAAGGAGAAGCCATCCCTAAACGGGCGAAGAGCAAGACGACGGACACGCGGACGACGAAGGCGAGGAGGGAGGGTGAAACGTAGCTATGAAGAGGTGGCTGTCTTCCCTTCAGTGAAACCTCGTTCCTGGTTAAATGTGAAATTCCGCTGATCTATGATAAGCACGTTGAGGTCAAATTTTCCGACAGAGCCGGCCCGGGGTCACACAATGGGTACACCCGAGGATTCCCCACGAATGGGGTGTACACACTTAAACTCCAGATGGAGGGTGCTAATCCTTTCGAGTACAACTGATGAGTCTCGAGTACAACTGATGAGTCTCGAGTACAACTGATGAGTCTCTCATCGTTCGAGTACAGCTGGTGAGTCTCGAGTACAGCTGGGGTTCAGCTGGTTTTGGAGAAAAGGGCAAAAAGGGGACCTTTGTTTGGGGTGGGCCCGCCAGCTGCCATGACAATGGCCCAGGCGCAGCCCCGCAGGTACGTTTGGACCCGGACACCGGGGGGCGTCTTCGTTGGCTGGAGACCCCCCGGGCCGGCTCCAGCCCCCTGCTGTCGTGAAAAAAGGATTGTATGGTGGCAGGGTATTCTGCCACTCCGCACACACACGCCCCTCAAAGAGGGGCGAGAAACACTTTTTCGGGGGGGAGAAGAAGCGCCCGAAAGACGGACGAAGACCCCAACAGAAAACAAACGGAGCAAGCACCCAAAAGAAACAGAAAGCCCCACGTTGGGTCTCCGCGGGCAAAACCCCAACCAGAAACACGAAAAACAGGGGAACCCGAGTTTTAGGGTCACCGCCGAGGGCAAAAACCCCAAACAGCCCAGAAACCCTCCTAAACCTGGAAGACGACCACCACCGCAAAGTTGAAGACCGAGAAGAGGACCAGGCCATCCCTAAACGGGCGAAGAGGAAGAACAGGAGGTAGTTGGAAAAAGGGGGGGGGGGGAGGAAACGAAAGAAAGGAAGAGAGAAAGAGAGAAAGAAGCGAAAGAAAGAACGAAAGAGAGAGAGAGAGAGAGAGAGAGAGAGAGAGAGAGAGAGAGAGAGAGAGAGCGTATTTAGGGCGTCGCAACCGCCCGGGGGGAAAAAGAAAGGAGCAGGGTGCGTATTTAGGGCGCCGCATCCCGCCCGGGAAGAAGGAAAAACGAAGAGAGAGGAGGAGGAGAGAAGGAGAAGGGAACAGGAGAAAAGGGAAGGAAACGAGAGAAGGGGAGAAGGAGGGAAAGAGGGAAAGAAAGAGAAAGAAAGAAAGAAAGAACGAAAAAAAGAAAGAAAGAAAGAACGAAAGAAAGAAAGAAAGTAAGTGTGCGTATTTAAGGCGACGCATCCCGCCCAGAGAAACGCGAGGACAAAGCCAATGCTCGAGGAAGAGGGCGTCGAATCCCGCAGAGGGGCCATGAGGAAGAGCACGATGAAGCAACGGTAGGGAACGAAGACGGCAAGCCAAACAGCGCGAGGGGACCGAGGACCACGAACAAATAGGCAAACAAGAAGAGGACGACGACGAAAAAGGCAAACAAAGCGGCGGAGAAGAAGCCATCCCTAAACGGGCCAAGAAGAAGAACAGCAACACGCGGAAGACGGAAGGCCGGAAGAAGGAACGGGAGGAAGGAGAAGCCATCCCTAAACGGGCGAAGAGCAAGACGACGGACACGCGGACGACGAAGGCGAGGAGGGAGGGTGAAACGTAGCTATGAAGAGGTGGCTGTCTTCCCTTCAGTGAAACCTCGTTCCTGGTTAAATGTGAAATTCCGCTGATCTATGATAAGCACGTTGAGGTCAAATTTTCCGACAGAGCCGGCCCGGGGTCACACAATGGGTACACCCGAGGATTCCCCACGAATGGGGTGTACACACTTAAACTCCAGATGGAGGGTGCTAATCTTTCGAGTACAACTGATGAGTCTCGAGTACAACTGATGAGTCTCGAGTACAACTGATGAGTCTCTCATCGTTCGAGTACAGCTGGTGAGTCTCGAGTACGCTGGGGTTCAGCTGGTTTTGGAGAAAAGGGCAAAAAGGGGACCTTTGTTTGGGGTGGGCCCGCCAGCTGCCATGACAATGGCCCAGGCGCAGCCCCGCAGGTACGTTTGGACCCGGACACCGGGGGGCGTCTTCGTTGGCTGGAGACCCCCCGGGCCGGCTCCAGCCCCCTGCTGTCGTGAAAAAAGGATTGTATGGTGGCAGGGTATTCTGCCACTCCGCACACACACACACACCCACGCACGCACGCACGCCGTCACAAAGAAGAATGCCGCATCGAGGCCCGCGGCCATCTGCGGGTACGGGTTGCGCACGGTCCGGGCCTGGCGAGCACTTCGGGACTGCGCACGGCTCCCTTCGCCGCTCGGAGCTCGGAGCGACTCTTGCGGCCTGCAGCTGCAGGTTGTGGTTCTCCAGAGGAGGCGTCCTCTCGCACCTGCGGGCCCCCGGTCACAAGGTCGCATTGGGCATACCGCGTCCAAATCACTCCTTCATGTCCCTTTCTGGGCTTCATTGCATCACCAACTAAGAAAGGTGCCGATCTTTTGGCAACACCCAGAATGCTCCCATGAACTTCCCAAAGGTCCCTCATAAACCACAAGGTCCCGAGTGTTTGAACGCAGAGCACTCCAACTGGAGCCAACCAGGCCGCCGACCACTCAAGCCATGCCGGCCGCTCCTGGCCCGGGCCAAGTTGGCCATCGACAACGCAGGCGGCTGGTTCCAGGTCGTCTTTTGTTTGGCTCTGACGCAAAGGGAAGATTTCCGTGCCTACAACTGAATAGAGCGCAAAGGAGGACCACAACACTGGCAACCCACCAAAAAAATAATGTTCTGTCATCCTTAGAGAAATACCATGATGTGTGTCCACCAATCATTTTGGAGGGCGTTCCAAAGACAACGGACGCACCCCCCCCCCAAACCCCCCGAAATCCCGAGAACGAGCGGCGCCTTCAGGAGCCCCAGCTCGGCGAGCTTGCGCACTCTGCCCACCACCTTGGCCCAAAGGGGGCGGGAAAGTGTTGAGGGGAAGCCTTAAGGTTTAAGGGGGGGTCGAAATTCAAAGGAAAAAGCCAAGAGCAAACCAAATCTAAGAGGATTCTCACCCAAACCGCGGATGGAGCCGAGCCGAAGCGCCGAAGCGCCGAAGCGCCGAAGCGCTGTTTCCCGCTTGCGACTGAGCGAAGGTTCCGCCCAATTTGGCCGCCCGGCATCGAGGCGTGCGACCCGCCGGAAGTTGCTGCCTAGGCAAATCGCTTGGCAAGCCTCATTCCTCTCTTGGGGTGTGTTTCGAGGGTACCTCTTTATGGGGGTGGTGTAAAGGGAAAGGAGCACTTGTTGGGGTCCTCACGATTTGACACATACCCATTTGAAGTCAGCCATGATCAAGAAGCCATTGAAAACAAAACACACCAGGGCTTAATTTGGCCTCATTTGACTCATTCGAATCATTTGACTCATTTGACTCATTGGACTCATTTGACATGCCTTGGCCAAAACGCTGCTGTCAAACAGAAAACGTGCGATCTCTTACTGCATTGCAAGTCAGAAGTCATGGTCAAGACCAACGTATCGAGTCACCCAAAGGTGTGGCCACGCCGTGACGATATGCTAAGTCCTGGGCCGTTCGGGTGGCAAGCGCCCTTGACCATGAGGCTCGAAAGTCAGTCGCTTTGGTCGGTGAGGCTATGTGAAGCTCAGGGTGTTGGCTCTTGGTATGGCGCCTCGCGCAAGCTGGTGGTCTGGGCCAGTTGGCCGGTTTGCCGTGCTGTAAAGCAATCCAGCCACGAGACACGGCTGCCCACGGCTGCACATCAATCTCCCCGCTTTCCTTTGAGGCTCCATGATTCTCCCCGTGAAGGGCCAACCATCCTGCACCAGTCATGACGGAAACCCTGGGATAAAGCATCCCAACTTTTGCCCGTGGCATTGCTGTTGTTCTTTGATTGAGGCGACCCGCATGCCAGGTGCACCGGAACAGGGGCGAGACATGGAGCGTTGCGGCGAACGAGGCCATCGACGTACAGTCTCCAATCCCAGAGGGTCCCTTGGTACCTTCTGAGGAGCTACTGAACGACCCATTCTCATGAGGTACCAAGGGAACCCTCTGCGAATGGGACACCGGAAAAAAAAGACCTCCCGTTCCTTTCCCCATCTAACTCGAACCTCCGAAAGGAGCGGAGGTTCAGCAAATTCCTCGGCCTGAAGAAAAATCGGCGAGTTTCCGTCTCTCCTCCGACACCCGCAACGCTTCCTTGAGCCGCGCCACCTGCGAAGGCGAGCTGGCAGTAGATTCTCTGAGCCCTTTTTGGTTGGGTTTGGAGGGAACCCCTCTTGGTTTCAAGTGAGATGCTTGTTGATTCACATCATCCAAATGGGGGAGAGGTTACACATTGGAGTTGCGTCTTGGGGAAGCCTAAAGGAAAGCTTTCCCAAAACTACGCCGACCGTTTTGGGGATGGCAGCAGGCACGAACCACGCCCACCTCATGGCTGCAGCTTTCCGAAGCCTGCCATTTCTCCGAGGGTCAAAGAGGTCAAGAGGCTAGACGAATGACACGTGCCAACCGGAAGGGGACTTGTTCCAACTTCTCTGAACCGAAATCGGAGGCTCAGGACGTGCTGGCCTCAGCGCGCTTCTCCTCCGGGTCCCTGCGGCCGATCAGCCCGCAAGCATCAAGTGTGCAGGACTCAAACCAAGCTGTCGCACTCACCACACAGGCGGGATGAAACCAACAGCTTCCACCCGGTGAAATGAAATGATAGAATGGGCCCTGTCCCTTTTTCCATTAGCCTTCGCAACCACCTCAAGGGCACCCGTTCCACAATTCGAATACCCATATATCCATCTCCGGGACGCGCCGTCCTGGGCCTGACTGCAGCCTGGGCTCATGAAACCGAATGCGAGCGCTCAAATTTGATCCATGCCATCAGAGGTAATTTGGGACTGACCGGGGCCTCCTTTTTTTGTTCCCCTCCCAGCTGAGAACCTCGTATACGACATGCCCGGACAGGATGCAAAGCAAATTGCAGGCCAAGGAGCGGCGGAACTCGGCCGGCGCCGGGCTGGAGCCTGCGCGTTTCAGAGGCTAACGAGTCACGCACGTGAATCCCTTCTCAGACAACATGGGAATCACTCCCATCCTGTGGGGCATACGGGGCATTTCTTTCATACTCCTTGCTTGAGCCAGGACATGCCTCTCTAGGTCGGCATGAGACGATAGCAAGAGCCACCGCCGGCCTTGGCCACTGCCTTGACCTTGGCCGCCTTGCGCTCCGTGGCTGTGGACCCGCGGCGGCGGCACTCTCAAGGGAGACCGCTGGGGAGCCCACGGCTCGGAGTCCTAGCTGTTTGGATGGGCAGAAGGTCTGGATGCGATTCACCTGAAATGACTTCTGGACTGCTTGAAAAACTGGGATTGCTCAAAGAGCCTGCTGGCATGATTCTGTGCATTCGGGTTGTTGAAGACTCAGCTCCGCCGGCATGTTTCTTTTTCGACCAGTGGCTGCGGTGGATGGCAAATTGCAGGACTTGGTAGATCTGCGACTCATTGAATCCGAACTTCTGGATGTGACAGGCAAATTCCTTGCAAGGCACGTTCCTTGAAAACATGATGTTCGACAAGCGAACAACCGCGCAAATCACAAAGGATTTGCAAACCACCTATACCGCATAGGCTGGTCCCTCGCCCCTCAAACTCATAGCCTTGGGCACATCCTTCTTCCGGCCCCTGTCATGGCCTTTTCCCCGGTCGCCGACTGACGTAGCGCTTTGATCCGATCGAGGACCTGCGGTGCTGCGGGACTTCTTGTGACTTGGACATTTTTAAGTGATTGGAGAGGGGATGCGGGATACTTGAAACAAGAATGAGTCACGCACAGCTGTCTTTTTTCCGCTCGGCAGCACTACAAGCCAAGCTGTGCGTTGACGTCTGTCCTCTCTACTCTGCTCGGCTGAGCAAGGAGCACATGGGACTGATCAAGACTGGACTATACAAAGAGGCCGGCCAGAGGCAACCTTTACAATGCGACGTCTCTGCCTCATGAGGCCTGCCTGTTGAGCCTAGCTGGAGGCTAAGGCCTGCAGCACAGCAGCGGCAGTGCGCTCGCCTGACTCCAAAGCCCCCTCGATGTAGCCACGCCACTGGTGCGCATATTCCGTCCCAGCAAAGCTAATCCTTCCCGTTTTGGGGAAGAAGCCTTCGGGCAGCTTCTTCCATTGACCCATGCCGGGACTTGACACGTATCCGCCCAGGGAATTCTCATCACCGATCCAGTTGTGGTAATGAAAGGACTGGATGTCTTCGTCCAAAGACCCCAAAGATCTGCGGAGGAACTCCGCGAAGCTGGTCCGGAGCTCCTCCAGCGGCTGCTCGCAGATGTCTCGCGCCTGGGTGCCTACCACGAAGCCCGCCAGCACGCCGTTGCCCGTGGAGTGGCTCAAATCCGCCACTTCCGACACCTCCGGCGCGCCCGAACTCCCGGCCCCGATGCAGGAGATGGCGCCCGTCAGGCCGCGCTTGCGCCACCAGGGCGTGGGAAAGACCGCCACGAGTTTCACCACCTGGCCCAATACCATGGACGAGGCCACTTCGCTGTAGTTGCTTGGCAGGGCAGGCCGGAAGCTGATGCGCCCCAGAAGCTGCGGAGGGAATGCCAAGATCAACTCCTTTCCCACATAAACCGCGCCGGTGTTGGTGGTCACCACCACCTTGTCTCCCGTGGTGTCCACTTCCACCACGCGCGTGTTGAGCTGCACATCAGACCGAAACTCTTCTGACATGTTCACGAAGATGTTCTGAAGTCCTTGATCAAAAAAGAATGTGTCGGCCTTCCCCTGCTGCTCAAATGATCCGCATGTCTTCACCGTGTGTGCAGCAGCATAAAGTGAGATGTCCCTCGGGTCGCGGCAAAAGCCGCCCTTCAAGAACGAGGACAACAGAGTGATGGCACCACTCGTCCATGATTTCTTCTCCACATAGTAAGCCACGCTGGTATTGTCATACGTGTCCATGTCCTGCTTGAACCCGCTCAGTGAGATACTGTTGATGATTCTGCTCATCCTCCACATTCTCACCAGAGAGTCAAGGCCAGAGAAGAATCCAATGCCATAACTGCCTGAAGAGTGAAGCTGTTTTGTCCCATCCCTCCACACCACTCCTTTTCCTGCCTTGTAGTGTTGAAGCTTCCTGTATCCATAAGTGTTCAACAGCTTCTCCAAGCGATCATGGCCCTTTTCTGCCTGCCACTGCGCACCCAGTTCCACGTGAGTGCCTGAAGGCAGTTCTTCGCTGTAAACTCGGCCACCGACCCGGTCGCGAGATTCCAGCACCACCACCTTCTTGCCAGCCTTGTGCAGGATTGAGGCAGCATTCAAGCCAGCGGCACCGGCACCGGCGATGATTACATCGACTTCCGCCATGAAGTTGACTTCCGGCCCTTTGGCTTCAAAATGGCTGGCTTAAGCCAAAATGGCTACTTTCCAGTTGGGTGGGTGCCCCCCGACTCAGCTGAAAGCCCATGATACTTTCCCCCTCTCCAGACTTCCTTAATGCTCGTGGGGATCCTCTAAAATCAGCTGATATTTCATGGCTACTCAACTAGCAGCTGCCCTTTCAAACGCATCCAATTTCAGCAGCTCCTCTCCACCCCCTTCACCCGCCTGCGCATTGGCGCGGAAAAGCTGCGCCGCAAGGCCGCGGCACTGCTGAGGCCACGCCTCGCCCAGCTCAGCCAGCAGGTCCCGCGCGCCGCGCCTCGCTGCAGGGCAAACCTTTTGCCTTTGAAACCAAAGGGAAACCGCACAACGCGCACATGTAGAGGGCTTTGCATATTCTATTTTGGAGACAAGTCAACTTGACTCATCACCGGACCTACACAAGCCCAAGAAGGCTGGTTGCTACTCAATCTGTCTTGACCCAATACACCTCGAACGAACCTAGACGCTAGCACAGCCCGACGGGGCATTGAGCAGAGAGAATGGAGCTTTGATACCCACCATCGTAGTCTCATCCATCCACATAGCAGACCCCTTCAACACGCATAGCTTGGAGCGCCAACATGCACATGTCCCCGATTTGCAAATGGTCATATTGGCTGCGCATCAATCATGAAGCATGCATGTCCCCTTTTTAACAACATGAGGTCTCTCAGAAAACTCTCCGTTCTGGTTCATTGGGGATGGTCCCAACGTCAACCTTGTGCCGGATTTGTCTTGCCATCACTTGTGGGTACGTTCCATCGCAACCGGGGGGGGGGGTCTGACACTTGAACTAGAGCCAGTCCGTTACAAAATGGAGATATGGATTCGGCAGCTCATTGGGGAGAGATTGGCTCTGCGTGAAGGCTGCGAAAGCGAAGGCGCACGTCACATGTGCCATGGCAAGCATCCAATTCTGCATCACGGTGACCGCTCCTAAATCAGAAACACAAGGGTTGTCTAAATTCCCAATTCAGGGGTGGACCATCCCCAACCCCAGATAAAAGAATGTCTCATTACATGTGACGTCTAATTTCTGATCCAGGTCACAAATGCCAGCGATCTCTTTCCTGCCATTCGCTGTCTTCCTCGCCCATGGCGCTAGCCACCTGGCTCTCAAGCGCGACAGCTTGATGTTACCGGGGCCAACCCAGAATATAAGCCCTGGTCAAAACATGCTAGGGGGGTCGTAGTCATGGTTGCCTCGACAAATCAGCACTTTACCACTGGTTATCTAAGACCCCCAGGCAAGAAATTGATGACCGTCCCTACCAACCCCAAGTCCAAGGAACCGGTCTTTTGACCATAGAGCATCTTACCAAGTGGCAAAATTAGTGAGTGCCCCCATGTCCTTTCCCAATGGACTATAGACAATCCATATATGTTGCCAGAAGCACAAGGAAAACTCGGTGGGCCGCCTGGGTGGGAAAATTGAGTGGGCCCCCATGTCCTCCAGTAGACCAGCAACTTAGTGCCAAAAAAACACAGAAACAACGAGGAAAAGCAAGCAACGAGTAGACTGCCAACATGTTTGCCCATTGCTCATATGGAGGTGTCTCAACATAGTGGTCCCCTCAAGCACCTGATTTTTTTTGTTTTCCCAAAAACCAAGCAAAAGGGGGTCCACCAGTTTGAGAAGCCCCAAAAACGAGGCAAAAAAGAAAGAAAGCGAAAAACAACTCCGCCGCAGAGCGGCCTCCGATGCGTTGGCTCGCAGCCACTCCTCCATAGATCCCAACGCCTCCCGCGCTGCGGTTCGCGCAGCGGTCACCTGAGCGGACAAGCGGAAAGCCGGGTCCACATCGGACATAGGCGAAGGGATTCTTTCAAGGGGCCCTCCTCTTTGGGCCTTACATCGATCCTGGCAGGGAGTATATACCCTCTTTCCAGGCATCCTGGAAGTGGAGGGATCGTTTCAAACAAAGATGGCCCCTTGTCCACAGAAAGCGATTGTTTAATTGAGGATATGATACAGGGAAAGCAGGGCGCAATTCCAAAACCAAAGAGCAAGAGGCAGGCTTGTGTTTCCAATAAATGGAACGAGATATATAAAAAAAAAAAACAAGTAAAATTATTTGATAAATATATTTATAATCTAATTAGTAGTATATATAATGGTTATTGATAAGAAACAATTGCTTTTGCGTCGTAGAGAAATTTATGACAATGTTGCAAACAGAATAACAGAACCACAACGCAAAGATAAACCACATATCAGTCATGTTATCGATAGAAAAGCAGTTTTTGAAACAAGTAAACCAAAAAAGAAGAATAAATTTAAATCAACTCAACATTACTATTATGAAGGAGACAACAAGGCACATCAACCTAATTACACATATATGAAGGAATTACAAGAACAATTAGAAATTCATACCGCTAAAAAAGATTATGCTGTATTTCAAAATAAAAGAAGATATATGGATGAAGCACAGGCGTAGTTTAATGAAATTCAAAGGTTGGAAGATGAACAATTGAGACATCATCCATCAAGTGAAACAGGTAAATCCTATTCAGAAATTATTAAGAAGAAGAAAGGAATAATCAATCAATTAAGAAAGGACGTGAGTTTCTATCGAACCTCACGAAATAATTTAATTAGATTAATAAATTATAACCTAATTAATTTTATATACTAATGAGATTAGACAATGCACAGATGAAACCGCTAAAATCACAATTGAGATTAAGACCGTCTTATAATGAACTCATCAAGGGAATTACAAAGGAAGAATATAGAAATATGAATATCAGAGATGTAATAGACAGAAACGCCTATTATTTTCGTGACAGTCCATTAGGAACAGTGTATGATAATAATACAGTAGAATTGAGACAACAACGCTTTCAAAAAATGTTAGAACAACCTAAAACAGTCCCGCATTTTGATATGGCAAAGGATGATGAAATGGATGATTTAAGAGACGGATCAATACAAACACTAAGTGCCACAATGGACGATGCAGAGGAACAACACGAACGACAAATCAGTCAAGTTTCAAAAAGAGATAGTAGCGAACAAGTAGCAGACCTACATGGACGAGCGCAACGGGCAAGACAATTAGACGAGAGAGACGAGTCGCAGTCAGTAGTATGATCAAAATCAAGCAACTATGATGATTTGCCGCCATTGGAAGATTTACGACCAAAAAGAGTTTCAAATTTACAGAAAGCAAGAGCAAGATTGGAATTGAAACGATAAATTGATGAAGATAAAGACAGTCCTGAACCAAAAAGAGTTTCAAATTTACAAAAAGCAAGAGTAAGATTGAAATTGAAGCGAATTATTGACGAAGATAAAGACAGTCCTGAACCAATGGAGATAAAAGAAGCAGAAAAAAGAAGAGAGCAAAAATTGGACAGCGCTGGCAGTTCATCCACAGTCCCACTAAGACAAACAAGAACACATAAGGAAACCATTGACTATTCAACTGATATAAACCATTGGAAGGGAAGCACCGTAAAAGAAGAATACATATTATTTCAATAATTCCGCGTTGGTTGTTCTCATGATCTTCTTTGGGCTGAAATACCCCATCTTACTGTATAGGAGGCTCCTCAAGGGTCGATCCGTCTTGGCCGATCATTCAAATGGCTCAGCCTGGTGTGTTTACATGAGTATGTGCCAAAATCGGGTGACCACAGAGCCCCATATGGCCATGGGTCAAAAGCCCGTACCGCCAGTGAACATCCCAATCGCCACTAAAATAGACTACAGTGGGTGGTGCACCCACCTCAAAATCGTACCATTGGGTTTGAACCACAGCCATATTTCCGCCTTGCACCCAGAGCCCCCCCGAGCCCGCAAGGCCCGCAAGGCCGAGCCTTGGCCTCCGCCTGCTCCGCCGCGCGGCCCTTCCCGCCGCTCCGTCGCTGCGCCGTCTGCAGCGGCGCCTGGATGGCCTGGCACCGAAGGCTCGCGGAAGAAGCCCTTCCTGTTTGGAAAGAAAGAAGCTCTCAAGGGGGGGGTTGTGCGGCAGCCCTTTATTTTGGAAAAAAAAAAAAAACTCCGAAGGGAGATGTTTGTCATGTGGCTGGGAATCCGATGACCTTTGCACCCTTTGCGCCTTTTTGCACCTCCACATGCCTTGAACGCCCCGCTCGCATTCCGATCGCATCCGGGACGTCCCAACTCCGCCGCCTCCAGCGCCCGCTTCAGCTGCGAGATGTGCCTCCGGAGCTCCGACAGGAGCTGCGTCTCCGCCGTCTCCGGCACCTAGGGCCCGCACGCAGACGGCAGCCCCTCGAATTGAACAAGCCCCAGTGTTAGCCACCAAGACTCTGCAATAGACCACTTCACCAACCAGAACTGGAAAGTAGCCCTTGTGTTTCTTCCTTTTCGTGCGGTTTGAACAGCAGCTTTTGGGCAAAAGTGGATTGTTGACAAAACATGCACCAACACGGAAAATCTGACCCCTCAACTTTGGGCGAGTGAAAAAACCCGCGCGGTCCAAGTCTCTGCCTGCTGCTCGCTGTGTTCCTGGCACCGGAACGTGTGCCGAAGCCGTGGGAAGGGAGCACGGCCATTCATGAAACCAGCTGTCCTGCCTCGTTTGACCACATTCCAAAAGATAGGGAATCCCCAAATGAAGTACCCTCTACCCTAGAAGGTATTAAACATACACAAGAAAGGCTCTTGCCATCCCCAAGAAGCCTGCACGACCACTGTTCGGGCTTTGGTTTACGCAGGTACGTCAGCAAAGAACGCGTGTTCGTTGCGGTCGCCCACAACGTGGCTAGCGAAGAACAAACTGGGCGTGTCTTCTTTTGAGGGTACCTTTTCTGTGGTTTTGAAGGGAAACCGAAAAGGACAACCGCCATTTTTGGGGGTTGGGGGGGGGTTCTCCTTAGATTTTGCCGTGGCTCAAAGCAATGTACCAAAATGGCACCTTGGCAAGTGGAACCAAAAACCAATCCCTGCTTAACCCTAGCTCTTTAATTCTGAGCCACACCCATTTCGGAAAACCAATCTCAAAACAAGCTTCGGCAACCACCCATTTAGGAAAACGGCAGATCGTGCGTGTTGTCGAACGGTTATGCGGAAAGTGTGCTCTTCCATTTAAAAAAATATCCATTGCAACTAGTTCTGCAAAAATTGGGAAAGTACGTTGCAAAAGTCATTCTAAATGAATTACACGATTGGTGTTCTTTCTTTTTGGCTTCCCTTTAAACCCACAAAACAGGGGTAAACAATTGGAGTCAAACAACTCAGAACGAAGCCGGCCATAGGCCCCGGGCCTCCAGCTCTGCCGAGCCCCCGCGGTCCAGCGGCCGCTCCGGCTCGGCCCGCTCCGGCTTCGAAGGCGCCTGGAACGGGTCTGGGCCTGTAACGGAAAACATTCGGTTGCACAACCAGACTTAAACAAACAAACCAACAAAACAGACAAACAACCAACCAACCAACCAAGAAAACAAACCAACAAAACAGACAAACAAACAAAAAACACACAAACAAAAATGACGAAGCAAGCATATTTCAAGGGACCATATTTCCGCGAAAGCCTGTGTGGAGGCCCCTGCAAAGCCGCCATATGAGCGCTATGAAGTTGATACAATGTTTCAAGGAGAGGACAAACACTGGATCTCGTAAAGTGAACATCTGGAGGGGTTCTCCAAATTACATTAGCGGGTGCAACGACGGTTTAGAGGGCACTACTTGAAAGGACCCAGTGACAGGCCGTTTGATTTTCGTGATGGGCCTCGGCTTGCAATCAACCAGTGTCTTGCAAGTTGACACAAAACCCCAAACAGGTGCCAAACAGCAAACAGAGATTCCTCTACCGCCGGCCCTGTGTTTGTTTTGCGGGTACCTTTTGGGTTTTGATAGGGAACCAAAAGGAAACCGTCCATCCGGAGAGGTCCATTGAGAGACAAACCGCAGAGTCCGGCTGACCAGAACTGCTCCGCCGTCCTGCCAGACACGGTCGTCGATCTCGGGGTTGAGTTGGCTCAAGCGAGTGGACGAGTAGTTCACGTAGATGCAGTACCTTGTCTCCAAAAAGGGGAGCCCTCAGCTAAGACTCCAAAAAAGAAGAACCCTCGAAGTGTGGCCCAATGGTTGGTGCCTTTTCCCTGTCTACATCGGGTAACTCAACAAAGACATGCGCACTCAACTTGCCCAGACATACCCACCTGAAGTCTTCCCCCTCAGCCTCTTGGCGGCCCGGCTGGTAGACCAAATTGGGTATGCTCGGCCGAAACTGCGCCTAAGCCAATCGAGCGAGACAGGCCAAAGAGCTCTCGCTCACTCGAGCGGCTGGGCCTTTTGTACACCCTCTCGGATTCCCTTGGATGTCTTGCCAAAAAAACATGAACGGAATCAAAAGGGCAAGTATCCACATCTCCGTCTTAACCCGCAACTCCGGGCTTCTTGATCTCCCACCAGCTCGGTCTTGGGGGCTCGGCCGGGCTCACCTGCAGCAGCTCCTGCATCATCGCCCCATTCTCCGCTATGGTGGTGCACAGCAGCTTGGCGCCCTCGCGGCACAGAAGGCCTCCACCGAAAAATCCCACGCCGAGCGGTGACACGGCTGAGGATTCGGGTGACATGTTCGCGCCCAACTAAAGGCCCCCGGGATTGGTGGAGCGGCAAAACGTCGGTGGGAGATGTCCAAACGTGCATGTGGGCATGTGTGCATGCGCATGTGTATGTAAGGGTTCGAGGGGGGGATTGTGCTTCTCCAAGCTGGCTTACTATGAATGCCTCCTGCTCCGTTCACCCTCCAAAATGAAGATCTCCCAGCCACAGCATCTGGATGACAGCCCTTTAGCACTTTCTGGGCGTGGTTTTGAGGGAAAGCCAAAAGAAAGCACTGCCCGTTTTCGAGCCAATTGTTGATCACTGCCAGGAGGCGAGCAGTCACCGCATATTTCTCCCAGACCTGAGGCGGCAGTGCAAGTGGTTGAGCCAAGCCCTTGCTTCATGTTCAAGCACTGGTCGAACAACCTCTTCTTGGTTCTCCCCAGGGGCAAACTTGGCTCTTCAAACCACCAAGGAAAAGCGCGCACGGGGTCAGCCATGCATCGCACCTCCCGAGTGATGAAGGGGGGGTCTATGAGGACAAAGTCAAAGGATGCACGGAGCTCCTTGCCAAGTGAATTCAGAGGGTGACGAAACACTGAAGCCTATGGCATGCTGCCCAGAAGCTGGACTGCAAGCACAAAAACCCTCACAGCTAAGTCCCCTCCTCTGGCAAGTCTTCTGGCTGGTTGAAGTCGTAGAACACGAAGCCTCCCGTAAAAATCATGCTCGGCTTGCGGGGGAGACACTCCCCATGGCCTGGGTCCGACGTCCACTGGCGGTCGAAGTCCAGGACTTTGCAGCGCCGCCGCACGTCCTGGCTGAGGCGAAGGAGGGAACAGCGCGTGGGTGTGTCTCAAAATGGGGAAAATGGATGGGAACCCCCAAAACTGGATGGGTTTAAAGGGAAACCAAATGGATGGGAACCCCCAAAGCTGGAGGGCTTTGAAGGGAAACCGAAAGGAAACCATTTTGATCCCAACCTCCAAGCCGAGAGCCAAACCTCCGGCTCAACTTCTCTGGGATACGACGCTGGACCTCTTGAAGCGCCAGGGTTCCCAGGGACACGGCTGAGAATGTGACGGCTCCCGATATTCAGCCCAGTGTAGGTTCTGTTCTAAGTGGCACCTGTGGCAAACTCCCCCTATAACCATGGCTTCAAAGCCACTGTGAACCAGCCTTTTCTCCTCAGAACCAGTTCTTCAAGCCATGTTCTCCAACTGAGACTGGACTTGTCTATCATCCCCCCTTCCCCTGGCGTCTCCAATTGACCGTCTCGACCGTCTCGACCCATCCCATCCTCCGGGAGGCTGAAGTAGACGCTGGGCGTGGACACCAGCGCCGCGCTGCCGGCTGTCTCGCAGATCTCCGCCACGAAGCAGGAGACCGTGCCCGGGGAGAACCAATACCTGGGCTCAGGAAAATCCACCGGAACCCACAGCCATACTCAACACCCGGCAATGAAATGGTCGTAATCCCAGAACCAGGCTTCAAGAATTACCAAGGCGGGCGCAGCTATTTATGGCAAGGGGGTTGTCCCTTACTAACCTTCATCTATTGTGGCTCACAGGCCTAAGAAGCATGGTGGGAGGACAAGAGTCTTCCAACAAGTGCACTTTGTTGGTTGGATGGAAGGTAATAGGATAGAACCATGCTTTGTGCTGGGTGAAACGAGCGCCCCAGACATCGGCATGTGCCATGATTATACATTGGCTTCGCAACTTTGCGAGGCACCCACGTTTTTTTTTTCGGAAGAGATTATTTTTGCGCCTTGAGAGGACATGGAAAGAACTGGATGACCCTGCTAATCTGGAAACGCTAAAATGCTGCAAAGGTCCAGAAGACACAATCTGTTCAAGCCTCAGAGAATTGGCTTTTTGGACCTTACAGTATGTTGAGGCCTGCGCTAAAATGCTGTAAGGTCCAAAGGAAAACCAAAAACAAGAAGCAATTAGAGGACTTGATAAGGTTGAGTATGTTGCTCCATTTCCCCAAGACCGTGGACTCATGGACCAGATAACTCCCAGATTCGGGCCGGCCATGTGCCTCAGCTCAGGAGGGAAAATGAAGCCACCAATGGCCCATCTCTACTGAAATCATTGCTCAAGGGCTGATGATGGCAAGATTCCGCGGGCTCGCCTTTCTCTTGCCTCGATTCTTTTCTGGGAGGCCTTCCATTTCAGCGCCCTTTGCTTCGCGGGTGGGCCTTGGGTGGGTTTAGGGTAAGCTTAGGACAAACTTCGGGTGAGTCAGCAGGCCTGTAGGCTTTGGGTGGGCTTAGGCTGGGTTCAGGGTGGGGATGTAGGGTAATGTTCAGGGGCATGACTATTGTGTAGGCTTACGGACCCAAATCTGGACCCCCACTGGCAAGCACACCAGTCAAGGTGGAATGGCAAGGTGCTGATTCAGGTCTGCCCGCTCCGCGGTGGAATCCAAGAAGTCCTTGGCGGCGTCCATGGCGCGAGTCAGCCGCGGATCTTGGAGGAACCCACGGGACGCGGCAGTGCGACCAAATTCCCTCTGACTGTCTGCGTGCTCCTGGGATACGTCCCCCAAGGTGAACGGTCTGCGTTGGCTCCTTGAAACGGCCCAAACAAAAGAGTGCTTGGAGAAAGGCACACATGAGTTGCCTGCAGCCATGCTCTTTGGCACGGCTAGAGCTGAATTGGCGCACGTCGGCTGGCTTTTGCAAGCTGGATTGGCTGTGGCTGAAAATCAGCCCCCGCAGCCCCCCCACCCCGTGCGTAGGAGAAAACTAAGACAACAACATCTGTGGCCCAAGAGTCATGCCTTTTACCAAGCAATACGCTCGCTGCTGGCGAAGGGCATCAGCCCGCAGCAGAAGTTGTAGCCTCCGGCATTTGGCCATGTGTCATAACCTATGCCTCCATTTTGGGGCGGATGACCACCCATGTACCACCTATTTTGATGTTCACCAGAACTACAGGGTTGTGACCCACAGCCACGTCAGTTCTGCTCCTTTCCTCTCAGATCACGGGTTTGGGGCCCAGAAGCCCAGGAAGTCCTCCGAGCCTCCGATCCCACCTGGGACCGCGGCTGAGCGTCCGCAAGCCCAGGGGCGCGGTGTCCGGCTGGGCACGGGTGACCAAAACCCGGCAATCACTGCCACTCGTCTCTCGACTGTGGTCAACAGGGCAGGGCCAGTATGTGATATGGAAACCAGAATGAGGTCACAGGGCATGCCCTTGTTACGGACCCCGCAAGGAGAACTGGACACCATGTTGGCCCAGCTTTCCCTGAAAAATCCCTTTCTCCGTTTGATTTCCAACGGAAACCGGGACTGAGGCCCAGGGTGCCGTGCTCCTTTGGCTTGAGAGCTTCGGATGCCGAACCCTAGGCTCCGACCCAGCAGGCCAGGTCCCCTTGAGCTCCTCTGCGCGTGTCGCAGCCTTAGCCGCAAGCCCAAAGCAAAGCCACAAACAAATACATGTATACAGAATACAATATGTATATGTATATATATATACATAATTTAATGTATAATATATGTATATATTTAGATCAAATATGTATTATGTTTTCCTACTTACACAAAAAGGAAATGACGTTCGGCAGTGGTCCTTTTTCCTGGCAAGGCTGCTCGCTTTGTTGCAGACTGCACTGCACCCTTGCCGAGGCTGGCACAGCGCTCACATGGGAAGTAGGCATCGAAGCAGTGCTTCTGAAGGCGTGAGCATTGCCATGTCCGTTTGGGCGTGAGGGCTATGTTCTGTTTTGGTTTTTGAGGGAAACAGAAGGGACACCATCCATATTAAGGCTCCCTGTTTGGATCCAGGGTGTATTGATATGCAGGGGTCTGTCAATGCGGTGGGTGTGCTGTTTAAAGTCAGTGAGTTGAAATCGAGATTCCCCTGAAAACTGCGGCAAGATCCATTCACTGCGGGAAGCCCAATTTTCCATAAGGAGATTTTTCTGAAGTCCAGGTGAAGCCCAACCGCACGCGCGCTGCTTCCCCCAGGGGAGCCACATCGTGCGGCCTGCGCGTTTGGAGGGCACGTCGCGGGACCGGAGAGGTGGTCCATGGCAGGCAGCAGCGCCGCAGCCTGGCGATAAGAGAACTCAGCACCCAGCCACATGCCATGGGGCTGCGCCCCCCTGGGTTAAAACCAAACCCGCCATTTTGAGGGGGATCATGGGGATCCCGGATACAAAAAACACGCCTATGTAGGATTCATTGGCCCTTGGCTCTTTGAAACGGAAATCACGAGAATCCAAACGCGCGGGGCAGTTAGCGGGTCAGGGCTGGTAAGGGTCAGGCTGCTCCTTTTTGCTTGCAAGCTGTTCAAGCATCAACCAAAGTGGCACGAGTGAAACCCAGCTGGGACGCACTCCATGCCGGTTGTTTCAGTTGCAACCATTCCCAGCAGGGTTTTCGGACATTGCACATCAAAACGTCCAGAACTTTGCAAAACACATCCCTGAAGGAGTTGACTTTTGGTCAAACCAAGCCCACTTGTCCGGAGAAAACGAGACCGGCGAAGCGGCTTTGTGCTCCAGGCCTGCATGCGCATCCTGGGCTTCCAGAAAATCAACACGGAGCTGCCGAACAAGGAAACTCTCAAAGCCAAAAGGTGTCCGAACTACCACCAGATCAAGTCGAACCGACTAGTGCTCGCTTTGAACCAGATCGGGGAAATAGAAGTGGGAACTGGAACAAGGCGAAGCCCTCGGAGGCCTTGTGTCCTCAGGTAGGGACGTAGTCACCAGTTCAAAGGCTGAAAGAAAAGCTATGGTTTTACCTCCAGGCATCCAATCCGAGTTCAAAGGCACCTTTTGGTGTTTTACCGAAGAGCAACTCTGAATTCTCCCGGCCAAGCTGCTTGGTGAGGCCGCAGCACGTGGGGAAGCGGATGTCGCCCATCCAGCAGCTGAGCTCGCCCACGGGGATGGCCCTGGGACGCGCAAATGGATGGATTCCTTCGGTCGCCGCAAAACACACCCACCCTTTCAGTGTGGGGACTGGGACCCCTTCTAAATGTGAAAATATTATCTTTTTGTTGCTGTCCAAACGACCATTCGCATGTTTCCCTTCTTCAAAACACTGTGGCCCACTTCACAAGACACATGAACGAGCTCGGAAGCGGCGCCGTTTCTCGGGATATTTTGCTTGGAGAATCTTCCGCTCAGTTCGGAGATGGCTGTGTCTTGTGACCGCAAATCCCTGATCCGAGAAGAAACCGGGGTCCAAGGGGGGGACATGTACCCGCCTGGTGTCGCAGCAGCGCTCACAGGTGAACTCCTGCAAAGCAATCGATGGGGAAAGCGGGGGGGGGGGGGGGTTGGAGGGGCGGGGGAGGGAGGCAAACGGAAAGCCTGCCATGGCCATATCTGTGGACTCCCCCAGCCCATCCAGCCGTCTCTGTGTGTCGCCTTCAGAGAATCGGGTTGAGCAGAGATCGCGTTGCGGCCCTCTCATTTTTGGAGGGATCAGAATGGTTGCCATGCGTGTCGGTCAATGCAAAAATGCAGCAGGCATCGCGGCATTGCAGATTCCAGCAACGTTGCTTGCTTGCATGCACCGCTGCTCGTGCTTGTCGAGTGCACGGATGTTCATCAATTGTGAAGACCAAAGACGCTGATCGCACCCCACCAGTTGTTCAGCTGCCAAACTCACCGAAGCCACAATCACAGGAGTCCACCCGGTAGCCTACCCCTTTCCAGATCTCATGTCTGCCTTGCGGCCCCAGTCCGCTTCAGGTCCACAAGACACTCGCTCGCCCTAAACTCCTGGTCGAAGCAGCCCGGCTCGGCCAGCGCGGGGCACCTGGGCGGGTGAAGGGGTGAAGGCAAACCCAGGAAAACGTGAGGCTAGCAATGCGGTTGCAGCATGTTCGCAAGGCGGGTCTGGCTGGGCTGGTGCGGCTTTTCGGTTTCCCATGAAGCTGAACCGGGGCAGTGTGCAGCCCAGCTCTTGCGGGCACCGCAGGCGTTGCATAGCTTGATCCAAACTTCTTCAGCCTGAACCAGCCAAAAGTTAGCTTAAGCTTGCGTCAAGCACTCATTCCTCAGCTTTGCTGGTAACACATGGTCTAAAAGTCATAACATGCGGACCCCCGCATGTTCTGTACTGCAAGGTGATTGAATTGTTAACCCTCAGCTGTACGCCTTGGCAAAAGGGCACTGTTGCCCAGCCTTCACCAAAGTCAAAAGTTGCAGGTCTTGTCAACGTGTCAACCTCATCTTGGCCTCAAACACGGAGTGGGCCGTAAGGGCCATCCCGGCCGTCCGTGCCATCCGTGTGGTTCTGCACAAAGTTGGGGCTGGCACCTGGGCACCACTGGCAGCTGCTGCGGGGCACGCACATGCAGGTGCCGCAGTCAAAGTACCCCGCGGGGCACCCGATGATCGTGGAAGGCCTGGGTGCCGGGGCCGGGGAGGGAGGTCCTGGCCTGGGCACGGGCAGCTCGCTCTGCTCCCCGCCGCACCATTGACACGTGGACTCCGGCACGCAGAGGCACCACCCGCAGTCCTTGTAGTTTCGGGGGCAGAACGGCACCTCGGAGGGTCGCGGCGCCGGGCTGGGCACAGGTGTGGGCGTTGGTGTGGGCACCGGCCGCGGCACTGGGGTTGGAGTCTCTGGTGTCGGGGACGGGACGCCGGGGACCCAGGCCCCGGGGCACCACTGGCAGGAGGATTCCGGCACGCAGCGGCAGGTGCCGCAGTCCACGTACCCACGCGGGCAGAAGGGCACCTCTGAGGGCCTGGAGACGATGTGCCAGCCCATGGTGGTCGTCTCCGTGGTGTCGGTCACGTTGGTCTCGTTGTCAAAGTCGGGCTCCTCCGTGGTGGCCGTCTCAGCGCCAGGGCACCACTGGCACGTGGACTCGGGCACACATCGGCAGGTGCCGCAGTCCACGTAGCTGGCCGGGCAGCCGATCACATCCGAGGGCCGTGTGGGCACCGTCTCAATGGGACCTGGCACACCTGTCCCTGACCCGGGGCACCACTGGCAAGTGGACTCCGGGACGCACCGGCAGGTGCCGCAGTCCACATAGCTTGCGGGGCAGCCGGGGGTCTCTGACGGCTGAGGTTCCGACCCGCCGGACGGAGGAAACGGGGGCCGTGAGCCGCCGCAATACTGGCAGCTGGAGCGCGGCACGCATTGGCAGCTGCCGCAATCCACGAATCCGCGAGGGCAGCCGATGATGGCAGAGGGCACTGGTTCGTTGTCCGAATCACCAGAAGGATCCGCAGAGGGAGCAGCCACCGGCTTTGATGCTGTTTCTGCTGGACACTTGCTGCACACTGTCGGAGGTACACATCTGCATTGGCCACAGTCCTTGTAGTCCGCAGGGCACCCAGTGATCGTCGAGGGTCTCGGCTCTGCCAAGCGTCGAGTCCTTAGGCTGAGCGACTGCACACACATCCAAGCACTTCCACAACTACTTGCTGGCTCGCTCCTTCTTTCTGCGTGCAAAAGTTGCTGGCCTTGCCCCCAGAGCCAAAAACCACTCCCCTTCAAATTGATACTAAGTCTCAAAAAGGCGACCCGCGCAAAAAGGACATTCCTCCAACAAGGGGTTTGCTTACAAGACCCGAGCCGGAGAAGTATTGCATCCGAACCTTGCAGGCAGTGTGCAGCCAAATTGCCGAGGGGCCCCGTATTGAGATTCACGGCCGGTTCACGGCCAAACGGATTCTTTGGGATTCCCAGACCCAAATTTCCACATGTAAGCCTCTGTGTTGCGGCCCGAGCTTCAGGTTGACGTCCGCCACACGCAGGGAAGCCCATGCGCACGGGAGGAGAAGACCTCGCAGAGAGGAAAATCAACAGCGCGGAGGCTTGGGGCGAGTGCATGTCTTGTGTCAAGGGTGGCCCTGTTCGGCGGTTTCAAGGGGAACGAAAAAGAAACCGAAGCCCCATTTTGCAGGGTCCACCACTTTGGGACGAAGCGGAAAAGCGAAAAGGGATGCCCTTTCAAAGAGGGGGCCCTGAGCGCCCTTTGCCATTTGCCAAGGATTGGCTTGAGACATCAAGGGACAACATAAACCGCAGCGATTGTGTTCATGTTGCGACTGGAGCATTCTGGGTGCCAATTCAATTTGCGGGGGTGCGGCTGTTCAGTCGGCGCTAAGTGTTTCTGGCATGCAAGATCAATGCTTCCAGCCGGCATTGCATTTCAGTTGTGGGGGGGGGGGCTTTCGTGGACATCCTGTAAAGATCCTCAACCTTGCAGGGCCCAAGAGCCACACCTGCAAGCAGCTTTGTGACTGCCATGGCAACTATCTGTGCCAGGATTGGTGAGCTGAGTGGCTGAGTGGCTGCGCGTGCAGCTATCAAACTGCAACGTACTCATGTGGATTGCTTCCTGCAAGTACAGCCCCCTAGAACAAAACGCAAACTGAAACAAGATGTTTGGTGTCCCCTAATTATTCTAGGAGCCGCCCATGTACGACAAATGCCCGTCCCAACCACCAAGAATCCCAGGCAGACTGTTGAGAGGTTGCCGAAAGGCGATGCAAATGCGCTGGGCATTCCGCCTGAATCAGCCAAAAGTCAGCTTGAGCTTGCGTCAAGCATTAAGCACTGATTCCTCAGCTTTACAAATAACAAGAAAAGTTCTAAGAGTCACAACATGCTGACCCCGCATATCTGTACTGCAAGGTGATTGAATTGTTAACCCTCAGCTGTACTCCTTGGCAAAAGGGCACTGTTGCCCAGCCTTCACAGGTCTTGTCAACGTGTCAACCTCATCTTGGCCTCAAACACGGAGTGGGCCGTAAGGGCCATCCCGGCTGTCCGTGCCATCCGTGTGGTTCTGCACAAAGTTGGGGCTGGCACCTGGGCACCACTGGCAGCTGCTGCGGGGCACGCACATGCAGGTGCCGCAGTCAAAGTACCCCGCGGGGCACCCGATGATCGTGGAAGGCCTGGGTGCCGGGGCCGGGGAGGGAGGTGCTGGCCTGGGCACGGGCAGCTCACTCTGCTCCCCGCCGCACCATTGACACGTGGACTCCGGCACGCACAGGCACCACCCGCAGTCCTTGTAGTTTCGGGGGCAGAACGGCACCTCGGAGGGTCGCGGCGCCGGGCTGGGCACCGGTGTGGGCGTTGGTGTGGGCACCGGCCGCGGCACTGGGGTTGGAGTCTCTGGTGTCGGGGACGGGACGCCGGGGACCCAGGCCCCGGGGCACCACTGGCAGGAGGATTCCGGCACGCAGCGGCAGGTGCCGCAGTCCACGTACCCACGCGGGCACAAGGGCACCTCTGAGGGCCTGGAGACAATGTGCCAGCCCATGGTGGTCGTCTCCGTGGTGTCGGTCACGTTGGTCTCGTTGTCAAAGTCGGGCTCCTCCGTGGTGGCCGTCTCAGCGCCAGGGCACCACTGGCACGTGGACTCGGGCACACATCGGCAGGTGCCGCAGTCCACGTAGCTGGCCGGGCAGCCGATCACATCCGAGGGCCGTGTGGGCACTGTCTCAATGGGACCTGGCACACCTGTCCCTGACCCGGGGCACCACTGGCAAGTGGACTCCGGGACGCACCGGCAGGTGCCGCAGTCCACATAGCTTGCGGGGCAGCCGGGGGTCTCTGACGGCTGAGGTTCCGACCCGCCGGACGGAGGAAACGGGGGCCGTGAGCCGCCGCAATACTGGCAGCTGGAGCGCGGCACGCATTGGCAGCTGCCGCAATCCACGAATCCGCGAGGGCAGCCGATGATGGCAGAGGGCACTGGTTCGTTGTGGGAATCACCAGAAGGATCCGCAGAGGGAGCAGCCACCGGCTTTGATGCTGTTTCTGCTGGACACTTGCTGCACACTGTCGGAGGTACACATCTGCATTGGCCACAGTCCTTGTAGTCCGCAGGGCACCCAGTGATCGTCGAGGGTCTCGGCTCTGCCAAGCGTCGAGTCCTTAGGCTGAGCCACTGCACTCAAATCTGAATCCAAGCACTTCCACAACTACTTGCTGGCTCGCTCCTTCTTTCTGCGTTCAAAAGTTGCTGGCCTTGCCCCCAGAGCCAAAAACCACTCCCCTTCAAAATGATATTAAGTCTCAAAAAGGCGACCCGCGCAAAAAGCACCTTCCTCCAACAAGGGGGTTGCTTACAAAACCCGAGCCGGAGAAGAAAAGAAGGGTATTGCATCCGAACCTTGCAGGCAGTGTACAGCCAAATTGCCGAGGGGCCCAGTATTGAGATTCACGGCCGGTTCACGGCCAAACGGATTCTTTGGGATTCCCAGACCCAAATTTCCACATGTAAGCCTCTGTGTTGCGGCCCGAGCTTCAGGTTGACGTCCGCCACACGCAGGGAAGCCCATGCGCACGGGAGGAGAAGACCTCGCAGAGAGGAAAATCAACAGCGCGGAGGCTTGGGGCGAGTGCATGTCTTGTGTCAAGGGTGGCCCTGTTCGGCGGTTTCAAGGGGAACGAAAAAGAAACCGAAGCCCCATTTTGCAGGGTCCACCACTTTGGGACGAAGCGGAAAAGCGAAAAGGGATGCCCTTTCAAAGAGGGGACTCTTCGCGCACTTTGCGTCTGCCAAGGATTGGCTTGAGACATCAAGGGACAACGTAAGCCGCAGCGATTATGTTCAACATTTGCTGGGGTGCGGCTATTCAGTCGGCGTTAAGTGTTTCTGGCATGCAAGATCAATGCTTCCAGCCGGCATTGCATTTCAGTTGTGGGGGGGGGGGGAGGGCTTTCGTGGACATCCTGTGGAGATCCTCAACCTTGCAGGGCCCAAGAGCCACACCTGCAAGCAGCTTTGTGACTGCCATGGCAACTATCTGTGCCGGGATTGGTGAGCTGAGTGGCTGAGTGGCTGCGCGTGCAGCTATCAAACTGCAACGTACTCATGTGGATTGCTTCCTGCAAGTACAGCCCCGTGAGAACAAAACGCAAACTGAAACAACCGCCAAGAATCCCAGGCATTTGAGAGGTTGCCGAAAGGCGATGCAAGCGCTGGGCATTCCGCCTGAATCAGCCAAAAGTCAGCTTGAGCTTGCGTCAAGCATTAAGCACTGATTCCTCAGCTTTACAAATAACGAATTGTTCTAAGAGTCACAACATGCTGACCCCGCATATCTGTACTGCAAGGTGATTGAATTGTTAACCCTCAGCTGTACGCCTTGGCAAAAGGGCACTGTTGCCCAGCCTTCACCAAAGTCAAAAGTTGCAGGTCTTGTCAACGTGTCAACCTCATCTTGGCCTCAAACACGGAGTGGGCCGTAAGGGCCATCCCGGCCGTCCGTGCCATCCGTGTGGTTCTGCACAAAGTTGGGGCTGGCACCTGGGCACCACTGGCAGCTGCTGCGGGGCACGCACATGCAGGTGCCGCAGTCAAAGTACCCCGCGGGGCACCCGATGATCGTGGAAGGCCTGGGTGCCGGGGCCGGGGAGGGAGGTCCTGGCCTGGGCACGGGCAGCTCGCTCTGCTCCCCGCCGCACCATTGACACGTGGGCTCCGGCACGCACAGGCACCACCCGCAGTCCTTGTAGTTTCGGGGGCAGAACGGCACCTCGGAGGGTCGCGGCGCCGGGCTGGGCACCGGTGTGGGCGTTGGTGCGGGCACCGGCCGCGGCACTGGGGTTGGAGTCTCTGGTGTCGGGGACGGGACGCCGGGGACCCAGGCCCCGGGGCACCACTGGCAGGAGGATTCCGGCACGCAGCGGCAGGTGCCGCAGTCCACGTACCCTCGCGGGCAGAAGGGCACCTCTGAGGGCCTGGAGACGATGTGCCAGCCCATGGTGGTCGTCTCCGTGGTGTCGGTCACGTTGGTCTCGTTGTCAAAGTCGGGCTCCTCCGTGGTGGCCGTCTCAGCGCCAGGGCACCACTGGCACGTGGACTCGGGCACACATCGGCAGGTGCCGCAGTCCACGTAGCTGGCCGGGCAGCCGATCACATCCGAGGGCCGTGTGGGCACCGTCTCAATGGGACCTGGCACACCTGTCCCTGACCCGGGGCACCACTGGCAAGTGGACTCCGGGACGCACCGGCAGGTGCCGCAGTCCACATAGCTTGCGGGGCAGCCGGGGGTCTCTGACGGCTGAGGTTCCGACCCGCCGGACGGAGGAAACGGGGGCCGTGAGCCGCGGCAATACTGGCAGCTGGAGCGCGGCACGCATTGGCAGCTGCCGCAATCCACGAATCCGCGAGGGCAGCCGATGATGGCAGAGGGCACTGGTTCGTTGTCCGAATCACCAGAAGGATCCGCAGAGGGAGCAGCCACCGGCTTGGATGCTGTTTCTGCTGGACACTTGCTGCACACTGTCGGAGGTACACATCTGCATTGGCCACAGTCCTTGTAGTCCGCAGGGCACCCAGTGATCGTCGAGGGTCTCGGCTCTGCCAAGCGTCGAGTCCTTAGGCTGAGCCACTGCACTCAAATCTGAATCCAAGCACTTCCACAACTACTTGCTGGCTCGCTCCTTCTTTCTGCGTTCAAAAGTTGCTGCCCTTGCTCCTACAGCCAAAAACCACTGCCCTTCAAATTGATATTAAGTCTCAAAAAGGCGACCCGCGCAAAAAGCACCTTCCTCCAACAAGGGGTTTGCTTACAAAACCCGAGCCGGAGAAGAAAAGAGGGGTACTGCATCCGAACCTTGCAGGCAGTGTACAGCCAAATTGCCGAGGGGCCCCGTATTGAGATTCACGGCCGGTTCACGGCCAAACGCATTCTTTGGGATTCCCAGACCCAAATTTCCACATGTAAGCCTCTCTGTTGCGGCCCGAGCTTCAGGTTGACGTCCGCCACACGCAGGGAAGCCCATGCGCACGGGAGGAGAAGACCTCGCAGAGAGGAACATCAACAGCGCGGAGGCTTGGGGCGAGTGCATGTCTTGTGTCAAGGGTGGCCCTGTTCGGCGGTTTCAAGGGGAACGAAAAAGAAACCGAAGCCCCATTTTGCAGGGTCCACCACTTTGGGACGAAGCGGAAAAGCGAAAAGGGATGCCCTTTCAAAGAGGGGACTCTTCGCGCCCTTTGCGTCTGCCAAGGATTGGCTTGAGACATCAAGGGACAACGTAAGCCGCAGCGATTATGTTCAACATTTGCTGGGGTGCGGCTATTCAGTCGGCGTTAAGTTTTTCTGGCATGCAAGATCAATGCTTCCAGCCGGCATTGCATTTCAGTTGTGGGGGGGGGGGGGGAGGGCTTTCGTGGACATCCTGTGGAGATCCTCAACCTTGCAGGGCCCAAGAGCCACACCTGCAAGCAGCTTTGTGACTGCCATGGCAACTATCTGTGCCGGGATTGGTGAGCTGAGTGGCTGAGTGGCTGCGCGTGCAGCTATCAAACTGCAACGTACTCATGTGGATTGCTTCCTGCAAGCACAGCCCCGTGAGAACAAAACGCAAACTGAAACAACCGCCAAGAATCCCAGGCATTTGAGAGGTTGCCGAAAGGCGATGCAAGCGCTGGGCATTCCGCCTGAATCAGCCAAAAGTCAGCTCGAGCTTGCGTCAAGCATTAAGCACTGATTCCTCAGCTTTACAAATAACGAATTGTTTCAAGAGTCACAACATGCTGACCCCGCAAATCTGTACTGCAAGGTGATTGAATTGTTAACCCTCAGCTGTACGCCTTGGCAAAAGGGCACTGTTGCCCAGCCTTCACCAAAGTCAAAAGTTGCAGGTCTTGTCAACGTGTCAACCTCATCTTGGCCTCAAACACGGAGTGGGCCGTAAGGGCCATCCCGGCCGTCCGTGCCATCCGTGTGGTTCTGCACAAAGTTGGGGCTGGCACCTGGGCACCACTGGCAGCTGCTGCGGGGCACGCACATGCAGGTGCCGCAGTCAAAGTACCCCGCGGGGCACCCGATGATCGTGGAAGGCCTGGGTGCCGGGGCCGGGGAGGGAGGTCCTGGCCTGGGCACGGGCAGCTCGCTCTGCTCCCCGCCGCACCATTGACACGTGGACTCCGGCACGCAGAGGCACCACCCGCAGTCCTTGTAGTTTCGGGGGCAGAACGGCACCTCGGAGGGTCGCGGCGCCGGGCTGGGCACCGGTGTGGGCGTTGGTGTGGGCACCGGCCGCGGCACTGGGGTTGGAGTCTCTGGTGTCGGGGACGGGACGCCGGGGACCCAGGCCCCGGGGCACCACTGGCAGGAGGATTCCGGCACGCAGCGGCAGGTGCCGCAGTCCACGTACCCACGCGGGCAGAAGGGCACCTCTGAGGGCCTGGAGACGATGTGCCAGCCCATGGTGGTCGTCTCCGTGGTGTCGGTCACGTTGGTCTCGTTGTCAAAGTCGGGCTCCTCCGTGGTGGCCGTCTCTGCGCCAGGGCACCACTGGCACGTGGACTCGGGCACACATCGGCAGGTGCCGCAGTCCACGTAGCTGGCCGGGCAGCCGATCACATCCGAGGGCCGTGTGGGCACTGTCTCAATGGGACCTGGCACACCTGTCCCTGACCCGGGGCACCACTGGCAAGTGGACTCCGGGACGCACCGGCAGGTGCCGCAGTCCACATAGCTTGCGGGGCAGCCGGGGGTCTCTGACGGCTGAGGTTCCGACCCGCCGGACGGAGGAAACGGGGGCCGTGAGCCGCCGCAATACTGGCAGCTGGAGCGCGGCACGCATTGGCAGCTGCCGCAATCCACGAATCCGCGAGGGCAGCCGATGATGGCAGAGGGCACTGGTTCGTTGTCCGAATCACCAGAAGGATCCGCAGAGGGAGCAGCCACCGGCTTGGATGCTGTTTCTGCTGGACACTTGCTGCACACTGTCGGAGGTACACATCTGCATTGGCCACAGTCCTTGTAATCCGCTGGGCACCCAGTGATCGTCGAGGGTCTCGGCTCTGCCAAACGTCGAGTCCTTTGGCTGAGCGACTGCACACAAATCTGAATCCAGGCACTTCCACAACTACTGTCCACACGACAACAATCACTTGTTCCTTCTGCTTTCTATAATTGCCTGCGCGCGCGCCAAAATGATGATTGACGTCAAGCCCCACACAAGACCCCTCAAAAGGGACTCTCCTCCCAAGATGAGTTTGCCTTTAACTTACAACTAGAAAACGGGTGGCCCGAAAGCATTTTCCTGCGCACGCAGCCAACTATGCATTTCACTGTCTACTCTGCGCATGCCTCTATGCAGTTCACACTGCACTTGCCCTGCGCATGCCTCTATGCATTTCGCTGTTTACTCTGCGCATACCTCTACGCAGTTCACACTACTTTCCCTGCGCATGCATCTATGCACTTCACTCTGTACTTGCCCTCTGCCTGCCTCTATGCATTTCACTGTCTACTTTCCCTACGCATGCCTGTGCGCATTTCACTGTCTACTCTGCGCATGCTTGTATGCATTTCACTGTCTACCTTCCCGGCGCATGCCACCATGCACTTCACTCTGCACTTGCCCTACGCATGCCTCTGTGCATTTCACTGTCTACTTTCCCTGCGCGTGCCTCTATGCATTTCACTGCGCACTCTCCTTATGCGTGCCTCTATGCATTTCACTGTCTACTTTCCCTGCGCACGCCTCTCTGCGTTTCACTGTCTACTCTGCGCATGCCTGTACGCATTTCACTATCTATCTTCCCGTCGCATGCCACTATGCACTTCACTCTGTACTTGCCCTACGCGTGCCTCTATGCGTTCACTGTCTACTTTCATTCCGTACTTGCCCTAAGCATGCCTCTGTGCGCTTCACTGTCTACTTTCCCTGCGCATGCATCTACGCGTGTCACTGTCTACTTCCCTTGCGCATGCATCTACGCACTTGCATCAGCACTTGCCCTATGCCTGTATGCGTCTACTTTCCATGCGAGTGCCTCTGAGCAGTTCACTGTCTACTTTCCCTGCGCACGCATCTATGCGCTTCACTCAGCACTTGCCCTATGCGCGCCTTTGTGCGTTTCGCTGTCTACTTTCCCTGTGCAATCTTGTATGCATTTCACCATCTACTTTCCCTGTGCATGCATCTATGCACTTCACTCTGTACTTGCCCTATGCATTTCACTGTGCACTTTCCCTATGCATGCCTCTATGCAGTTCACTGTGTACTTTCTCTACGTAGTTGAGCTGTGCAGAACGCAACGACTTTACCGGAAGACCCCTTCGCAATGCTTTCGGGAAAAACAGACATGTATGGCGTCTCTTTGAAAATAGGTGGCCCATGAATTTTCTTCCCAAAGGTACCCTTCTAGTATCCTGGTCTCCTTCAATCGGTCCATGACCTGCTGGGAGTTGAAAAAGACAAAGTAAAAGAGTTAGGATAGGAAAACACAATAGTATTGCGTGCGGGGGTAGCACTTCTGGAGCCCCCTAAAATACAGGTACAATATAATGTCTACCTCCTCCAACCATGCCAGGCCTTTCTAACAAGAAGATGCAAGAAAGCCATGCAAGGGGATCGATCCGAAGCCTTTGCACCTCAAAAGTTGAGGGGCCCCGCATTGAGATTCACGGCCAAAGAACTCGACTAGTTACGCCAATGTCCACATGGAAGCCTCTGTTTTGCGGCCCAAGCTTCAGGTTGAGGTCCACACGCAAGGAGGCCCATGCGCTTCCCAAAAACAGACCTCGCGGGTTTGGGAGGCTTTGGGTGCGACACCCTTCAAGGGAAGCCAAGGGTCGTTGCGTATCTGGGGGTGTCATTCTTTGAGGTGATGTCCTTCTTGGTTCCCTTCAACACCACCAACAAGGGGTTCGGGCTGGGGGGAGACCGCCAAAACGCTGAGCACTCTTTTAGGAGGGCCATTGTGAGAAGCCTCTTCAGAGTTCACGCAGTGATTCCCAAGCCCAAAGACAAGCGCTTCCACGCGGGCATGAACCTCAGTTGGGAAACTTTTTGGTGGACATATGGGGATTGACGTCGAAATATGATTGAGGGCGCTTCCCGTCTACTTTGTAGCCATGTTCAAACTTCCTCTTGCAAACCAAATGCCCTGAACCCCCACCGTCACCGCGCCTACGAGCAGCTTTGTGACTGCCATGGCAACTATCTGTGCCCGATGGGTGAGCTGAGTGGCTGAGTGGCTGCGCGTGCAGCTATCAAACCGCAGCCACTCATATGGAGTGCTTCCTGCAGCTCCAGTGCGCACCTCCTGGTGGATGGTGGAAAGTAACAAAACGCAAACGGAACCAGGTGTTGACATCCCCCATTTTGGGAACATGTACGACCAATGCCGGACACCGCACATCCCGGGCGGCGCGCTTTTGAGAGGTCGCCGACACAAGGCCGGCGATGCACATCACCTGGGCAACAGGCGCAAGGCTCTTTGGAAGTTTGGATTTCTGGGGACCCCACGGCATGTCTTTGATGCCAGCCCATGGCGAATTCGGCACGAGTTGCGCTATGTGTCTTCATGGCTGGAGTTGCTTGGCTGCTGCACAATCAACCATGAGGGTGTGTGCTTTTTAGGGTACCCCCGTGTCCGGGCTTCAAACAGAAGCAAAAAGGGAAACCAGCCATGTCAAGGGCCTCCCAATATTGAGATAAATTTGCAACAGCTCTGGAAGAGTGCTTGGATTCAAACCGCTTCAACGCGCAGGCTCAAGGCCTCGAAATCGAGCCAATCTTGGGGAGCCAAACCGTACATGGCTCGAAAGAAAGTCTCCAAGTGACCAAACATTGCACGTCTCAGATGGGTTCCACTAGCCCCAAACCAGTACCCGCCAGGGGTTCATGGAATGTACATCCGCCCGTATGGGGAAAACGGCCAAGCAACATATTCCGCTCCTCTCGCGCACCTCTCGTATCGGTTCCGGCCGAAGCCGTGTGACTCCCATGACTCCTTTTTCACGTCACCACGCAGCCACCCGGACCTCAGCAGCTTGGGTGGGCCCAAAAACGCTGTTCAAGGTGGCTCTGGCTGTCCCCATCCCAGCAGTCGGATACAAACGGGAGTGGCCCCTTCGTAAACTGAGGAAAGGAATACGGACTGTACTTCAACAGTCCACATAGCAGCCGCTCAGCCCTCCCTTTGGATCGGTGTTCCCTGGCTTTCTCGCGGTTGGCCCCCCCCCCCCCCGCCCCGCCAATGCCAGCATGCGCGCCTGCGTCTTTCGCTTCGGGCGCATCGCCCGCGCTGGGCTCAGCCGCGCCTTGCACAGCGTGGCTTTGCAGCAACAACTGCAACCGCCAGAAAGGCGCCATCCGTATGCAAGGTATGGATGTTCCGCTGACGCTTTTCAAGGTCGGTCATGTAGTAATGATAGCTAGCGTCTGGCCACAACACGGAAGGTGTGAAACCCCAGCATTCCCCCGCCCAAGGGAGCACCCTCAGGAACGCATAACACTAACCCTCGAACTTTGCTGCTCGCTATCTGGCAGCTGGTTCCTGAGTTGTTCAACCTGCATCATCCTGATCCTTCAATTCAAATTCTTACACAAGCCCTGAAAGCCCGCACATGACCGTTTTGCGGCTGCTGCCATGCATGTGTCATGGGCTCCCCACGTGCTTCAGGTGACAGAGCGCTCATGCAAGCTGACATGCCCAGGTCAACGCATGGCGACTACCAGAGACTCTGTTGGAATACATGAAGTTTATGGATCTTGCCACAACCAACTGATTTGTTACATCAGTCGGCAAAAACGTCACACCCCCGCGAGGCCTGCGTCTTTCGCTTCGGGCGCGTCGCCCCCGCTGGGCTCAGCCGCGCCTTGCACAGCATGGCTTTGCAACAACAACCGCAACCGCCAGAAAAGCACCATGCGTGTGCAAGGTATGGATTTTCCGCTGACGCTTTTCAAAGACTGTCACGTAGAACTGTATAGCCGGTGTCTCGCAAGAACAGGAAAGGTGGCAAACCCCAGTGGCACCCCCTCAGAAACGCATAACACTAGCCCTCGAGCTTTGCTGCTCGCTATCTGACAGGTTGTTCCTGAGTTGTTCAAGCTGCATCTGCCCAACCCTGATCCTTCAATTTAACTTCTTAGACAAGCCCTCAAAGCCCTCACATGGCCGTTTTTAGCTGACGGAGCGCTCAGGCAAGCTGACATGCCCAGGTCAATGCATGGCGACTAGCAAAGATACTGTCAGTCGGCAAAAAGGTCACACCCCCGCGATGCCTGCGTCTTTCGCTTCGGACGCGTCACCCGCGCTGGGCTCGGCCGCGCCTTGCACAGCACGGCTTTGCAGCAAGAACTGCAATCGCCAGAACCCTAGCCCTCGAGCTTTGCTGCGCACTGTCTGGCTTGTCTTTTTCTGAGTTGTTCAAGCTGCATCAGCCCAACCCTGATCCTTCAATTCAATTTCTTAGACAAGCCCTCAAAGCCCTCACATGACAGTTTCTATGAGACAAAGCGCTCATGCAAGCTGACATGCCCAGGTCAACGCATGGCGACTACCAGAGACTCTGTTGGAATACATGAAGTTTATGGATCTTGCCACAACCAACTGATTTGTTGCATCAGTCGGCAAAAACGTCACACCCCCGCGAGGCCTGCGTCTTTCGCTTCGGGCGCGTCGCCCCCGCTGGGCTCAGCCGCGCCTTGCACAGCATGGCTTTGCAACAACAACCGCAACCGCCAGAAAAGCACCATGCGTATGCAAGGTAGGGATTTTCCGCTGACGCTTTTCAAAGACTGTCACGTAGAACTGTATAGCCGGTGTCTCGCAAGAACAGGAAAGGTGTCAAACCCCAGTGGCACCCCCTCAGAAACGCATAACACTAGCCCTCGAGCTTTGCTGCTCGCTATCTGACAGGTTGTTCCTGAGTTGTTCAAGCTGCATCTGCCCAACCCTGATCCTTCAATTTAACTTCTTAGACAAGCCCTCAAAGCCCTCACATGGCCGTTTTTAGCTGACGGAGCGCTCAGGCAAGCTGACATGCCCAGGTCAATGCATGGCGACTAGCAAAGATACTGTCAGTCGGCAAAAAGGTCACACCCCCGCGATGCCTGCGTCTTTCGCTTCGGACGCGTCACCCGCGCTGGGCTCGGCCGCGCCTTGCACAGCACGGCTTTGCAGCAAGAACTGCAATCGCCAGAACCCTAGCCCTCGAGCTTTGCTGCGCACTGTCTGGCTTGTCTTTTTCTGAGTTGTTCAAGCTGCATCAGCCCAACCCTGATCCTTCAATTCAATTTCTTAGACAAGCCCTCAAAGCCCTCACATGACAGTTTCTATGTGACAGAGCGCTCATGCAAGCTGACATGCCCAGGTCAACGCATGGCGACTACCAGAGACTCTGTTGGAATACATGAAGTTTATGGATCTTGCCACAACCAACTGATTTGTTGCATCAGTCGGCAAAAACGTCACACCCCCGCGAGGCCTGCGTCTTTCGCTTCGGGCGCGTCGCCCCCGCTGGGCTCAGCCGCGCCTTGCACAGCAGGGCCGCGCAACAACAACCGCAACCGCCAGAAAAGCACCATGCGTGTGCAAGGTATGGATTTTCCGCTGACGCTTTTCAAAGACTGTCACGTAGAACTGTATAGCCGGTGTCTCGCAAGAACAGGAAAGGTGTCAAACCCCAGTGGCACCCCCTCAGAAACGCATGACACTAGCCCTCGAGCTTTGCTGCTCGCTATCTGACAGGCTGTTCCTGAGTTGTTCAAGCTGCATCTGCCCAACCCTGATCCTTCAATTTAACTTCTTAGACAAGCCCTCAAAGCCCTCACATGGCCGTTTTTAGCTGACGGAGCGCTCAGGCAAGCTGACATGCCCAGGTCAATGCATGGCGACTAGCAAAGATACTGTCAGTCGGCAAAAAGGTCACACCCCCGCGATGCCTGCGTCTTTCGCTTCGGACGCGTCACCCGCGCTGGGCTCGGCCGCGCCTTGCACAGCACGGCTTTGCAGCAAGAACTGCAATCGCCAGAACCCTAGCCCTCGAGCTTTGCTGCGCACTATCTGGCTAGTCTTTTTCTGAGTTGTTCAAGCTGCATCTGCCCAACCCTGATCCTTCAATTCAATTTCTTAGACAAGCCCTCAAAGCCCTCACATGACAGTTTCTATGCGACAAAGCGCTCATGCCAGCTGACATGCCCAGGTCAACGCATGGCGACTACCAGAGACTCTGTTGGAATCCTGCGTCTTTCGCTTCGGGCGCGTCGCCCGCGCTGGGCTCGGCCGCGCCTTGCACAGCAGGGCCGCGCAACAACAACCGCAACCGCCAGAAAAGCACCATGCGTATGCAAGGTATGGATTTTCCGGTGACGCTTGTCAAAGACTGTCACGTAGAACTGTATAGCCGGTGTCTCGCAAGAACAGGAAAGGTGTCAAACCCCAGTGGCACCCCCTCAGAAACGCATGACACTAGCCCTCGAGCTTTGCTGCTCGCTATCTGACAGGCTGTTCCTGAGTTGTTCAAGCTGCATCTGCCCAACCCTGATCCTTCAATTTAACTTCTTAGACAAGCCCTCAAAGCCCTCACATGGCCGTTTTTAGCTGACGGAGCGCTCAGGCAAGCTGACATGCCCAGGTCAATGCATGGCGACTAGCAAAGATACTGTCAGTCGGCAAAAAGGTCACACCCCCGCGATGCCTGCGTCTTTCGCTTCGGACGCGTCACCCGCGCTGGGCTCGGCCACGCCTTGCACAGCACGGCTTTGCAGCAAGAAGCAGTTGAAGTGCGTGTGCAAGGTTTGCGTATCCCGATGGTGCTTCGTGGACAAGGCCTAGGGGGTCACAGAAAGTTGGGAAAGTTGCTGTCCCATTGGTGGTGTGGAGCTTCTTGAGCAAGCCTTCAAGCCAAACCGCAAGCTCCCGTCTGGCGCCTGTGGCCTCCAAGGCGTCTGGCTCACCTACGCGTGCTCATGCCGCAGCCGGGTTTTGGGCTTCTGAGTGAGAAAAACGACCAGGGAGTTTCGACTCTCCTGGCAAGCCGTAAACAGCATGGGTTCAGGGGTTGGGTTGGGAAAGCTGTACTACGGGGGGGAGGGGGGAAGAATCCCACAGCGACTGAGTCTCCCACCTTTGCCAGCCTGGCACGCAGGAACCGTTTCATTGGGAACGACGCAATGGCCGTACCCAAACCGTTCATGCGGCCTTTGCCGTGTTTCGGGTGTCTGTGGGGCAAAGCCTGACAGGCCTCAATCGAATTGGGAACTGACTGCAAAAAAAACACCAGCAGGAACATCTCACTTAGGAGCAACATTCAAAAACTCCCGTGAGCCTCAGCACATCCCCTCGATTGCCAATCAATCACAATTAAAGCCTGGCACCAAAAGTGCTCAAAGCCAATGCAATAAACCCGCAGCAAAGTGCTCAAAACCAATGCAAATAGCCCGCAAAGTGGAAATCCGACCCCATTTCTGCTTGGAACCGTCCCTTGTTTCCCTTCATCTACCCAGGTGTTCACTGATGAATGAGCCCCGGACCTCCGCCTCTGGGTCCAGCAAAGGCAAAGCGGCTTCCACGTCCTCACCCTGAGCCGACAGGTCTAGAGATGTGTTGCCCAATGTGGCCATGGGTCAAAATCCAAATGGAACCCCAGTGAGCATCCCAATCCGCACTATGGACTAGAATGGGTGGTGAATTCACCTACCCCAAAATGGTACCATTGGTTTTGAGCCACAGCCATGTGGGATGGAAATGCCGTGCCTGGACGAAGGCAGTCGTCATCACCAAGCCTGGCCATCTTGGTTCGGCGGCAAGGACCCATTGGTGACAATCGGGTTCCTGCAGAGCATGAGATAGCCACGGTCAAGATATCAGCTGCTTGAACTATGGACTGCTGGAAATGGAGACCCTCTACCAGAATGGAACGACGCGTCAAGATTGTGCAATTTACTTGGGGCTTGAAACCCTCCAAGCGCCACAGGAGCCCCCAACATCCTGTTGGTGTCCCCTTGGCCCTCAAACCCCGAGAAAAGACACGCCCAGATCCAAACACATCGACCCTGAAACTGGTCAAAATCGTCCAGGCGCGCATTGGCCGAAGCGCTTGTTGCAGAGAGCTTTGCAGCAGCCCAGCTCCAAAATCTGGCGGAGAGCGGCGTACGCGGGCGGCATGCTCTCAAATAGAGGCTCCAAAAATGGATCAAGGGGTACGTACAAAAACCCTTGGGGCCCTTGGTCGTGGCTAAAGTGATCATGGTTTGTGGCCGGGAGACCAGCAATGCATCGGCGACTCCAACACCTGTCCAGGAGGAAACAAGGTCGCGCCTGCCTCTAGGCGTTGCACATGCCCGACGAGCGAAGGCTTTTGTCGGTTGATCATTTGGGCTGCGGTCAATTTGTGGCGGTGTTCCCAAATGACGCGCTTGCCGCGCTTCGAAGGCGGCGCACAAAGTGGGACGGTGTTTGGAGACGAGGCGCGCGGCTCTTCGATGCTCTTCGCGCATTTCTACGAGCACCAAAACCACAACGCGCCCTGCGGAAGCCTCGCCTCGAAGCCAAGCCGGCGGTAGCACTCATCACCTAAGCAACAGGGTCCCGTGCGCCTTTCAAGGGATTCCCCGGAGGGTCGCCATTTTTGAGTCAAGATCATGCTCGCATTTGGACGTGCCCTCACTGCCAAACTCAGAGCTATGGGAATGTGCTAAGCTTGGGAGCCCTCCACTTGCTTTGTTTGAGCTGCACCGAAGCTCTTCGAGGGTCCCTACCGTGTCGCGATAAGCTCAGGGCATTCCAAGAGAGTGGTAGAAGAATCGGAATGAAACGGCCTCGGCGGGACGCGTTGGCCTTTCCAAGTTGAATCCCAAACTGGTGCTCTCAATCCGTGAGACTGTCCAAAAACCCACACCCAAACAGGCTCGCACGCCTCAAATGTGCTTTGGGGGCCTACATTTTGGGGTACGAATTGATTGGACCCTTTAGGGACTTCATCTGGGGAAGTTCTCGGCAACCAAGCACTTCTTGAGGGGTGACCCAACCATTTCAATTCAGAGTGACATAGGGTTACTTTCCTGGCCACCATTGGGTATGTGTCAAAATCGAAGGACCCCAAAATTCGGTGGTTGTCCTTTTTGACGTCCTTTCTTCCACCTCAAACGGGTACCGAGCCTCAAACCACAAACCCCCTTGCGGTCCACGTGCCCGAGGTCCCCGCGCACCAGTGGAGGGGTCAATGAAATCGCACCACCGCCTAAGCTGGGGACATGCCTCGATGTGGGCGTGATCTCAGGGAAGCGATGAAAGGGCCCGTAAAGCAAACCCTTTAGTTGGATGGTTCATAGGGGTCAACTCCTGCTTCCTGGCTGAGAATATCCGCTTGCGGGCGGGGGAGGGGCGCCAAGTGAGTCATCAAGTCAGATCCATGCGGGCGGATCGCCAAGCTGACCGGCAACAGCTCGAGAACTGCACGGGTCCCCTACACCAACGGGCCGATTGCTCAAGACTGGAAGGCCTGACCTGAATGAGCTATGCCATTTGTCACGAGCAGCATGACGATACCGAAAAAGAGAGTCCCCCCATGTGTTGGGAAGCACCAGTTGGTCTCAGGAAGCAAGTTTGGACTTTCCCAAACGCAACCCCGAACCGAACCCGGGAGGACTTGGAATTGGGGGGCTAAGGAGAATTGGCCCACGAAACTCGGGGCTGGCGCCCCAAGCTGTCGAAGTGCTGCTTAAAGGCCTGGTCGAATGCGCCAGATGCGAATGCGCAAGGCTCGACTCGAGTCGGAAGCCAAGAAGCATAGGTGGCCTTTTGAAAAAATAGATGGCCGCGGGAAATGAAAATCAAAGCCCATCTAAACCAGTGCCATCAGCACCTATGGCAAGAAGCCTGACGATCCAAGCCTATCAACAAGCCACGGGCGCCTGCATCCTCGTGACCAGCTTCTCATAGCACACCTGCCTGTACGTTGGCTGGCATCTCTGCCAACATGCAACACCCGGCCGTCTTTTACTTCAGACACGCTGTCCGTCCTGCCTCTCACTAAGCATCTCAGCAGACCTCAGAGGCGAGACAGCACACTGGGAGTCGCAAAAGGCACCCAAAACAATCCCCATCTCACATATTCCCGGCCGTTCCCGTGGTAAGGTCGTTGCCAACCCTGCCAAACCCATGGAAACTGATCCGAGCCTGAGACACTCTTATACATCTCAGGCAAGCTGCATTGCGGACTGGCGGTGCTTCGTCTGTAGCGCCTGGCACCGTTTGCAGGGCCTCCCGGCCAAAAAAGAGAAGTCCATACCAGCAATCACGGCAGATTTAACTGTTTTCCTTTTCTTCTTCTTCTTCTTCTTCTTCTTCTTCTTCTTCTTCTTCTTCTTCTTCTCTTCTTCTTCTTCTTCTTCTTCTTGTCTTCCACCCCGTTGGGGTGGTGCTTAGTACCCAAACACGGGGTTCTAAGCAGTCGAGGTTTTAACTGTTTTTGCCACGCACAGGAATTGATTGATGCATGTCGCACAGGCGGGCGACACCTGAATGCACGTCAAGGCAGAACTGGCAGTTCTGCCGTGGGTGTCATGCTGGCGATTTACAATTTGGTGACAGTCCAAGTACTCCGAAAGGGAACACCCCCTCCTTCTGCGATATTGGCCAGAAGGGGCATCCAGATTTTCGGAGCTGGGCATAAACCGGGGGCGCCACGAGCTGGTGCCAGCGTGGCGGAGCCCAATCCAAGTGGTTCGATTCCAGCCCCCTTTAGGGGGCGAATGCGGTGCGCGAGTCAATCAACTGCCACACCCTTGGGAACTACTTGTGTCAAGACTACGTATGATGGCGCATTGCAGCCGGCTGATTTGGTCTCTCAATTTGGGTGTCAAAAATATGGGGACCCCGATTTGTCTGTTTTCCCTTTGGTGTCCCTTTAAACCAGCCAAACAAGTATAGAAGAGGTACCCTCAACAAACACAAGCCTGTGGCTGAGTCAGTGTAGAATGCGCCATCCAGACTCATAGAAGGGCAATCTTGAGGCCCTTATTGGGGATCAACTCTACGGTTGTATCCCAAAGCGTGCAAGCCATAGACGCGCAGAGGCAACGGGCAGGAAAAAGTTCGTTCAACGAACATTACAGGAACACGGACCTGGGACACAGTTGCGAGTGCATTCTACAGCTTTCAAGGCCCTTGTTTGTGGGCAAGTGGACCTAGCATCACACACCGCGCAACCATCCGCATGTGTCCAAGTGTTCCTTCTTGCCGGATCAACCTTGACATCGAGCGCTAATTCTGCCAGACAGTCACGCAATCTCAAAAGTTGTACTTGAGATGACGGAGGCGGAATAGCTTGCCATGAATCAAACAAAGGCTCCACACAATTCTGGCTCGGAGACTGGGGTTTTCACGCAAGCTCTTCCGTTAAATCGCGTCTGATCAGATCAAAGAGGAGAGGCTCAGGGCAAACCTGAAAAGCCACAGCCCGCGTTCCATCAAAAGTCCCCAATATTGGCCATGTCATGCTACCGTTAGGAAATCCTCACAGCCCTCTAAATTCTCTATCAAGACCAAGACCATCCCTGCCAACACCAATGCCCAGGAAAGACGGCTGTTGCGACCATAAATATTGAAATCCTGATCTTTGGACTCCTTTTCGGCCCATGTCTCGTTCCCAAGCGCCAAGGAATAAGCCAGAGGCATATCCCCAGCCAGCGAGCCTATGGGGGGCACTGACCGTTAAAGCCGCCCAAAGGCTTCACGATGTCGGTTTTGCTGCAGGGAATTTCAGGTGGGTTTCAACCGAAAGGCAAACTCCGCTTTGAGAAACACGAGAGCCGAGACCTAAGCGCCGAACTTGGAGCTTGCCTGCGGATCGTGGCTGAAAGCATGTCCAAAAAAGAGTCACAAGACAAACCCATGCGGCCCACAGAAACCGTTGCCACTTGGAGAACAAGAATGTCATACTGCAAACATTTGCCCACGTGATAATGAAGCACATGGAAGAAAATCGGTCGAAGACTGTTTTGCTATGTTGAAAGACGTATTGATTAGAAGAGATACTTAAAACATTAGAACTTCTATAATTAGAACATGGAGAAAGCTTATGTTGGCATAGCCTCATGTTGCGACACGGTGACACAGTGGGCTCCCTTCGCCAAAGTCAAGCCTGCGGCGGTTCCGTGCTCTCCGAATGCCCGCATGCCTCTTGAGACTTTGGCGATGACTTCGGAGATGTCTTCGGCGATGCAATTCCCATGCCTGACAAGCAGAAAAGTGTCTTCCAGACGTCAGAACCTCATACACCACAAGGACTCATTGGGTACGACTTGACTTTTCGCAGCATTGACAACCATCATCCCCGCAATCTCAACACTGAGGCCGCAGCGCATCATGGATTGCTTCATCTTCCTCCGACGTTGAATCTCTCCGGAGTCACACATGTGACAGTGCTTGCACTCTTTGCCTCAGCGAGCCAAGAGCAAAAATATGGCCCAACCCACCACAAACCAAACGGCGCTTCTCGTCGGCGCTTGCTCCTCAAACCTCAGGTGCCCGCCATTTTGGCAGCCGGAGAATTTCCAGAACCTTGGCCAACTCGCCGGAAGCGAGTCGAAGACACGCCGCTCGCATACATCTGTTTGCGTGCAAAGGGGACCCCAAGCATTGTGGGCTTCCTTTTGGCTTCCCTAGGCCACCCCAAAATCGCTAGCTTCGAAAGAAAGGCAAACCATGACAAAACCCATCTCGCGGTCAGAGACACGAGTCAGACTGAGGCTCCGGCCAGGCACAGGGCCTGCAGTTACCCGTGCCGTGCAGCTTCGAGCCCTGACGCGACGACCAAATCCGATGGAAGACGTGCGAGGCAAGCTGCTCACGGACCTCGCCTCACTCGGAAGATCTTCTGGCAAGAGTCCTCACGAGTCAATCACCAGACTCTCGCAAGGCAAACGATTGGCCCACACAAGCGGATGAGCAAAGGATGCCGCGTGTCCTGCATCATCCTCGGGCAAACCTGAGCAAGGAAGCAGCCCGAAGTAAAGCCAGACGACCACATGACTAGAAGACCACACCCAGCCTGGCGGGAAATTCATTTTGGCTGCGGTCCAGCACTCAGGGCCTAAGTGCAAGACAGCTGGTGGCCGGCAAAGATGGAGTTCTATGTCCGACATGAGCAATGTAACAGGTCCAAGCCCCGGCCGTAGCCCTATCTCAGTGGTGTCTGAGCCGCAAGCTGTGGTTGCTGCCATCCGACATCTCATGCCTCAAAGGCTTTGGAATGCCCCCGACTACTGTGGAGATCTGAACCGCCAGCTCTCGCGGGGGTGAGGTACGGACTCCGAGCCGACGCCGGTGGTGGATTCCTCTTCCGACAGGCTTCCTCCAAATGCAAGAGCGGCTGTCGGACTGCGCTTCACGGCGCAAAGCGGTCCTTTCTTCGTGTCCCATATGGAGCCCTGCAGGATGCTTCTCTGGTCACACTGAAAACATCTGCAAGCACACCAATTCTACAGCCTGAATCACTCCATGAATCAGGTTGCGCCTTCTTGCGAGAAACCTGAGCCTTCGGTGATATGATTCCAAATGCCTCAGCTCAACTTTTGCTCTCCAACGCAGCCCGGAGCTTTCTTCACCGCACGCGCCAAGCTCCCGAGTCCCCGGCCATCACCGAAGACTCAGCCTCCTCCTCGAAATCGCCGACCTTGGGCCTGGGATCCGCGCTGAACTCCAGTGGCTCCCATCCAAAGAGTGGCTTCCAATGATCGGCACCCCGAAAAAGGCGACGAGCAGAAAGACGATCGACCCCGCAAAAAACCCTTCCACTTTGGGCCCCGAGCGTAGCCAGACCCAAACGCATGACGGTCTGCTTGGTGCGCTTCCTCGCCTGGAGGGAATAAGCCACCAACTCATGAGCCCTTCCAATGATAGCAGCGATCCAGAGACTGGTTATACGTGTGCGTGGGTGTGCATTCCAAGAGCAAAGCAATATACACCAAAACCACACCACTCAAGGGAAACCAAAAGATTCCGGATCACCCGGGAAGAGCTGCTAGTCAGGCCTAAAAAATGAGTTTGGACCCCTCATCCACGGGTTTTCAAAACGATCTGGTGGCTAGTTGGCTCGCGAAGGATCAAGCAAAGTCCATTCAGCTTCATCTCTGCTTGTAAGCTTGGGCAGTGCAAAATAGGATATGGACCCCAAAAAATGGTTGGTGTCCGCTTGATGTCCCGGCTGAAAAACCATCCAACCATATTCCTGTCACTGCCCCCAACAGTCGAGGGTGAGGGGATAGAGGAGGTCATGTGGTGCTTGTGCAATGCGCCCCTGCATGCAGATCCCGGAATCGCAAGCAATGGCAAGCGTCCCAACTCCTGTTCTGCAAGAGTATTTAAAAACCCGTTGGCTGGCAACGAGAGAGTGTTTTGTTCACAACCTGAAGCAGAGGCTGCTTACCCTCCCTACCAGCCTTCTGACCATCTTACCATCTCACTGGCTCAGAATCAAAGAAGTCATGCCTAAGACTGCCGCATCTCTGGCCTTGATTTCCCCCTCTGGGCAAAGGTGACAATGCCCGCAATCCTTCCCTCGGGGCCATGACACGAAACACGACACATGACACGAAGAAAAGTGTGACGTCGAGTCCGTGGGCCCCGCCATTCTTGCATCCTCCAGGCTTATGGAACCTCGGCCGAAGGCTTAGCCGTACGAATTGGGATGGAGGAAACGCAGCTGAAACCTCTGCCGGGCTCTGCAGCAAGACTGTGTCCAGCAAAGGAACGTCCTTAAAGATACCCCACAAATGGTGTCGGCTCCGAGACTCCCGGCCACGCGCAGGGACGGCATGTGCCCTGATCATGGAGCACGGACCCGTGGCTGGGCCTCGGCCACGGCAGCGTCAAACCCACAACGGGTCGTGGCAAGGGCCTCAACCCACCCTCTCCAGGGAACAAGCCAAAAAAAGACATCGATCTGGCTGGTGGGGGAAGAGTCGTTTTCCAGAAGCTTGAAGCGATTAAAGATCAAACCAAGGGCCATCACCTACGCTCAAGTTGTGCAAGAGTGGCAATGACAAAGCATGGCTGCTTAAACATGCGCGTGTGCGTGTGCGTGTGCGTGTGCGTGTGCGTGTGGGTGTGGGTGTGGGTGTGGGTGTGGGTGTGCGTGTGGGTGTGGGTGTGGGTGTGGGTGTGGGTGTGGGTGTGTGTGTCGTCAGCGTTACGCGGGTTTGGGCTTGCCGAATTGACCGGTTCTCCTTGTTTTCTTTCAACCTGACTAACGGCCACTTCCGCCCCTCTCAGGCTGCCTTTGATTCATGGGTCTGCCAACCTCTTCAGCTGCGTGAATGAGTGCATCTCTGTCGATGCCGACCACTTTAAGGTGATATGTCCGGTCAGGCCAGCGCAACAAGAAAACAATCTGTCTCCTCAAGTCAAAACCATGACGTCCGACCCAAACCAAGAGCTCACCTTTGGGCTCAAGATTAAAGATGCAGGTTTTTCTTCTCTGCCGAAAACAACATACTGGTGGAGATGCAGGTCTCCCGGCCCAAGCTTGGGCTGAAAAGGGACTTTCTCGGTTGCTTTCTGCTCCCGTGCTAAAAGCTTAACTTCTAGTGGATTAAGGGAAAACCCATTAGTGGGCAAAAGGTTAAGTGCGAACATCCAAGCAAGATGCACCTCTGACTTAATTGGCAATCCCCCGTGCAAATCGAACAACCCGGCGGCACGGGGCTAAGGGGGCGCCATCGACTCCCGGGCCGCGGACGTGTTTGGCGGCGGCTGGAGCCCAGGTGGGAAAAGCACGCCTGGCGTGCACGCGCCAGTCGGCTACCAACTTCTGTTGTGGGGGGGCGGGGTCGGTGCAAAAAGGACAACCAAAAGCAAGACCGTTGTGTTGGGCTGGGCTTTTCAAAATGGCATTTATGAAAACCCAAGCCAAAGGGAAACCACCATTTCGTAGAGTCCACCATTTTTACACAAGCCCACATGGCTCCAGAACACTGCGGGCACTGGGAAGCTTTGTGGAGAATGCTTACTGGCAACAGAATGCTTAGCCCCGCACATTGCCCACTGCCTAAGATGTCAGGCATACATCTGGCATTGAGGGACTGCTGTGAATCATGGAAACCTCGAACTGCAGCCTGACGAACCTGTTTCCACCTATCAACTAGCTGCTTCTTGAAGATCCACTCCACTTCCCCCGCACCACAGTTTGCTGTCGAATATTTTTTGCCCTGGGAGTAGTTGCCGACCGACCGGAGATCGCTCGCACGCGAGATTCTCAGGCAAGAAGCGGCTCTGGCCAAATGGAGTGTCCTCATCCTTAGGAGAGCCTCAGAGGCTAGAGGGAGGCGCAGGTAAAGCCGCCTGCGAAGCAGATTTCCCCTTCGTAAGACCGCGGCTTGCCATCATGCCACAGAAGTCGTCGGCCTCGCAAAGCAGGCAGCTCAACATTCCAAGACATACCAAACGACCACAAGAGTTGCAGAGCTTGCTTCGCATGTGCCAAGGCAGGGCACATAGTCCTCACCCAGCGTGTCAAAGCCTCGGCAATCTCCCATCCAGCTGCCGCCGCAGCTTGGCTCAAGTCAGGGGACTCCAAAGAATGCTTGACTTCCTTCAGGTTTTAAAGACAAGTCCGAAGAAACACATCCCACCGGTTCCCTTCCCCCCTCCTTAAAGCAGATCCACGTGCTTCCTGCAGCATACCCCCCCCCCGGGCGCCGCACGAAGCATCTTGGGAAGCAGCAGGGCTGCGGCGCCATCTGGCCACGGCACTCCAAAGCAAACAGCCTTCAGCCCTTGGGCGTCCCAAGTCAAAAGTAGGAACTGGGGCTGGCGGTTCCCTTCTGAAATTGGATTTTTTGTGGGGAGTTTCTGGTTGAAATTGGAGGAAGCAAAGGAAACCAAAAGCAAGCAAACCAGCTGCAAGGGTCCAGACAAGACAATCCCGATATGCCCATCTGCCTTTGTAATTGTTGGCGCAGTCATCCAGCGGAAGGTGGTCGTTCAACTCAGCCTGGGTCGGAGCAAGTCCAGCAACTCGTGGAGAGTTGTGGGGAGCTCAGATCTGAACTCTTTTGAAGGTACGATTGGACATGCGAATAGAAGTGCCCGGATCTTATGACGACTTGAATGTGGTCTACATGTGGCAGGCTGCTGGTGCCTGCTCTTGTGAGATTAAGCACGAGGTCAAACCTATTACAGGCCCAAGCTGTTGGTATCCAGGAGCTGCCCCCCACATCGGCACAAAGGGACCTACCTCACAAACCCAAGCTGGGCACATCGAAAGTTGGCCTTTCCTCCGATGGTCTGAGCTGTGGGCTCTTGTGGCAGGCGATGTCTTCGGGGAGTCCTGAGCTCGCAGGGATCCATGTGACGACTCGGCAATCCTGGGAGGCTGTCACACACAGAAACACAACGAGCCCAAGGGACGCAGAAGCTCATGCCCCGCAAAAAAACTGCTGGAACCCTCACCTCGGAACCTTGGAACAAGGGCAGACCCCTACAAACACCACTGCCCGACTGGGGTGGCGGCCATGCGTGGGTAAGGCACAGACGCCGGCCTCAGGCGCTATGTCACCTTTCACATCGGTGATCAAACATGAAGGCTCTTGCGACCCCCCAGGTCAACTCTGATTGCAACCTGTTGTGGATGTTAGAAGCGTCCCAAAGGTCGCCACTTTGTCAACATGTCCTGGGCTGATGAGCCCGAGACCCCGAGAGTGCCAAAGGCGAGCCCAGGGGCGAGCCCAAGGGCGAAGGCAAACCAGACCGGGAGATCTCCTCACAGCTGATCAACATGGCCTCTTGGCCCTTGTTTCAGGCAATCCCGAGGCAATCCGAGGGAGGGCGGGTTCCCTTGCCCAAGCAATAGAAGTTGAGAAGGCAACCGCCCCGCACCCTCAAAGAGTTGAAGGGGCTTGGGTTTTTGGTTGGGCACCCCCACCGGACAGTGAGGATTTGTGGCAATGCTGGCTCCCTATCAGCTCCTCAAAGACATCGGGCGAGTCCAAGGCCAGCGAATTCAGCTCAACCTGGCCATAGCCCCGGACCCCGGACCCCGGACCCCACTTGGCCCGTTCGAAACACCTCGCCTTTTTCGGCTCCATGGAGAGAGAGCCCAGCGCGGTTTCCTCCGGAGCCGCTGATTTGAGTGTCTTGCTTGTTTTTGTTTGAATTGCAGCTGGGGCGGCCGCGAGATTGAGGTTGAGCTTCTGAGGCGAGGATCCAAAGCTCGGTGAACCCTGGCCGCGAACATCCATGCGCAGCCGGCTGGAAGCCAAACTCTCACCTTTCAATCGACTTGCAAGCCAAAACGAGGTTACCAAAAAAAGAAGAGACCCCTGAAGAACAATGGTAGTTTTGTTGTTGTAATAGTTGTTGTTGTTGTTGTTGTTGTTGTTGTTGTTGTTGTTGTTGTTGTTGTTGTTGTTGTTGTTGTTGTTGTTGTTGTTGTTGTTGTTGTTGTTGTTGTTGTTGTTGTTGTTGTTGTTGTTGTTTGTTGTTGTTGTTGTTGTTGTTGTTGTTGTTGTTGTTGTTGTTGTTGTTGTTGTTGTTGTTGTTGTTGTTGTTGTTGTTGTTGTTGTTGTTGTTGTTGTTGTTGTTGTTGTTGTTGTTGTTGTTGTTGTTGTTGTTGTTGTTGTTGTTGTTGTTTGTTGTTGTTTGTTGTTGTTGTTGTTGTTGTTGTTGTTGTTGTTGTTGTTGTTGTTGTTGTTGTTGTTGTTGTTGTTGTTGTTGTTGTTGTTGTTGTTGTTGTTGTTGTTGTTGTTTGTTGTTGTTGTGTTGTTGTTGTTGTTGTTGTTGTTGTTGTTGTTGTTGTTGTTGTTGTTGTTGTTGTTGTTGTTGTTGTTGTTGTTGTTGTTGTTGTTGTTGTTTGTTGTTGTTGTTGTTGTTGTTGTTGTTGTTGTTGTTGTTGTTGTTGTTGTTGTTGTTGTTGTTGTTGTTGTTGTTGTTGTTGTTGTTGTTGTTGTTGTTGTTGTTGTTGTTGTTGTTGTTGTTGTTGTTGTTGTTGTTGTTGTTGTTGTTGTTGTTGTTGTTGTTGTTGTTGTTGTTGTTGTTGTTGTTGTTGTTGTTGTTGTTGTTGTTGTTGTTGTTGTTGTTGTTGTTTTGTTGTTGTTGTTGTTGTTGTTGTTGTTGTTGTTGTTGTTGTTGTTGTTGTTGTTGTTGTTGTTGTTGTTGTTGTTGTTGTTGTTGTTGTTGTTGTTGTTGTTGTTGTTGTTGTTGTTGTTGTTGTTGTTGTTGTTGTTGTTGTTGTTGTTGTTGTTGTTGTTGTTGTTGTTGTTGTTGTTGTTGTTATATGCAACCAAATGTGCAACGCATGGAGTCCCACCTGCTACAACCAGCCTAGGCTGAAACATCCAAGGCTGAAACAGGGCGACCACGCTGACTTGCGCAGGGCGTCTTGGTGCCCCTACACATGGATCCCCCAGTGCTGATGCCCGTTCCATACAAAGCAAAGGTCTGCTTGGTTGGTGCGACGCCCACGGCTTACGGCAATCCTCCAAATTCAAGTCACCACAACTTTCCGCGTGCCTGAGGCTGGACACTCAGAGCCTGGCTGCACAAACAGCCCACATCTTGCGATCTTGTGAGGCTTTCGGCTGCTTCCGATGCCTCTCTATCCAGCCTCTGCCAGAGACAGCGACACGGGCGGCATCGCTTCGACCTTCGTCTCAACCGCGGCTCGAGACGGAGCAGCCGAAAGCTGTGGCTCTCAGCTCTCAGGCAGACGCGTGGAGAGAAGGGACAAAAGAACAAGCCCGTCTTGCCACGGCGCGTCTCTGAGCAAATTGTCTGCGGAACAGCATTGCATGGCAAAAGTGCATACATTACCTTGTACTACACTATACTACGCTATACCACACAGTGCAGTATGCTACACCGCACTGCACTGCGACACAACATCTTCACACAAGTTGATGCTTAGACTCGTCAATTCTCGCAGCTCGAGCGACCAAACAGTTGGCAGGTAGAGAGGGAGCACAAGACCACAACGGGACTCTTGTTGTGAGCATCACCCGCTACCACCAAAAAGAGGACAATGGCCAGTCTCTCTCCCAAGGGCACCAGCGTCACCAAGACGTGGGGCTCCTGCACCCGAGGCATCGAAACTCGAATCTCTGTGTTTTCCTCGGGGTCCCAGGAAAAGTTAGGCGATTTTCAATGTCTGGTTGCCGACCATGGCAGCATGTGGGAGGCCCAATTGCTGAAACCCCTCAGTTAGAGGACAAATCTCACCGATTTGTCATACCCTGGGCCCAAACACGTCCTTGCCAGGCCATGGCCCAAATCCTCCCAGCTGTCCATCCCCCCCACGCGAGCTAGGCCTTGAGCAGCTGCCGGTCCGGGAAGAGGCCCTCGAAGTCTCGGGCCAGGCGCCTCCAAAACCCACAGCTGGCTGTAAGCAGATGCCGCCCAGAAACCGCCGATGGAACTGGGCATGTTGCTTGAAAAAACGATGGCAGTGTTCTGACACCTCTCCCAATTGAATTGGAAACAGGAAAAAATGTCATTTAGGGACCAGGCGTAGATGCCAAATCTGAGGAAAGATACTGATCATGTGATCAGCCTCCCTGCGGGCGTGTTCCAAGTGGCCACTGCACTTTTCCTGTTTCACGATGCTCGAACACGGTCGCAGCACCTGAGCTCGCCTCCACAACACCACACTGGGGGTGTCCGGGTGAAAACTCCGAGCGGGCTGCGAGAAAAGGGGACGCCAAGATGTGTGAAATGGGGGGCGCAATCGCGACCAAATCAAGAGAGGTCGTCCCCTTGTCTCGGGCTAGATGTCATGCATTCCACTTGGCTTCGGGCAATCTGTTCCGCCTTGACAAAGTTTGACTGGCCTGCACATCGTTGCACTCACCAACAGATTGCCAACATCCACACAAACTTCGGACTAAGGAAGCCAAGTAGAGATAATTCTATGTAGCCAAGGTCTTCATTCTGAACTTCTGGCCGATCAATTGGTATTCACATTTCTTGCAAAAAGAGATCCTGGGCCCATCAGCCCGACCTTAGTGCCGCAGGAATCGCCCCACTTGTGCCGCAGCCAACCGCGGAAAAGGAGGCCACAAAAAGAGGTACCATCTGAACAGGTCCAAGAAGGAGGCAAGGCTTATGAGCCACAAAAAAGACAACGCAACTCACAATGGCAACTGCTCAACGCAGCTTCCCCAGTTATGACACAGGCCATATATTTCAGCTTCCTAAGTATGTCAAGCACCCTAGTAAAGAGCTCATGACCAACGCTATAAGTCCCAAGTGACAAAGGTGCCTGACTGGACTGCTAGACAGACGGTGCTTGCGCAATTGGCAAGCAGCAAATCAAGGGGCCGAGGTGGTCCTCCGAACAACGTCTTGCCTTTCGGATGCGCAAGCCGGATAAATTCATGCCGGATAAAAGAGTCAATGCTGAACCTCGAACACGAATCGTCGATACCTATGGCCCAGGGACTGTTCCCCGCTAACAGCCAACGAACCCTTTGATTTCTAAGTGTAGCTGAAACGCGCCCTCGAGTTGAAAAATGTCAGATCCGCGCAAACTGAGGACCCGCACTAGCGGACCTGGCAAAACACCCGATGTAAGGTACCATCTGAGCTACCACAATCTCCGGTCACGCGCAGGGTTCCTTACAATTCATTTTGGCCTCCGCAAGATCAATAGCAGGCAAGTCATTCTCATTCTCTCAATGTCCAAAACAGGGCCGAGATGCAGGTGAACTACTCTGAGCGCACAGTCATACTTGTGACTTGGGGACTCTGTGAATGTTGGCTTGACCCGTGCAGCCGGCCTTTGCCACTTCAAATCGGTCGGAGTCTTCTGACAAGCTCCCTTCCCACCATGTGCCTCAAGTCCGGACTCTGCCAATCATGTGTGCCGGGTCGCGCGTGCGCATCTCTCAGCAGCAGACCTCTCTTCTTGCACACTCGGAGAGCCCAGGATGGCAGAGTTCTCCTGAAGCTCAAAACCCGCGGCCGGCAAAGTTTGGATTGTGGGAATGAGCCACAGGTAGTTGGAGTAACAATCCACTTTCCGCTGTAGATATCAGAAGACCCTCGGTGCTTCCTGTGCGCAGACTTCTTTATTACTTTACAACCCTTGGTATGGTAGCATAAAGCTTTGACTTTTGCAGCCCCCTACTCAAAATGAGCAGAGCAAAGGACACAAAATGCCAACAGAAGTGAAGCTCAGTGCCAGTTTTGACTTGGTCTCGCCCTTTCCCGAGCTCCTGGGTTCTCCTGATGAGGTAAGGCACAACCTCGTCCACCGGACCGTAGGGCACGTATTTGTATGACCTCGGGAAACGGATGGAAGTCAACCTGAACAGTGGGAAGGCTAAAATCTGGGAAACAGCCGTCGGGGAACAACACACCAGTCATCTATGGTCAAAATGCGGGGTCTCTATTGGATTGAGGCTTGAAAGGAACAATTTTTGACACCAAACATTGCGTAGAATTGCGTGGAGGGAAAGATGGCGATGAGTCTGCAGCGCTTAGTCGGACAACAACCGACGCGGACTCGAGCACACCTCCCTTTCACAGAACCTGCCCTGTCACAAACACGGGAGCCACGATCCATATTCATGGTGTCCTCGCCAAATCCGCAAAAGCCAGCTTAACTTGGGAACTTGGTGAATACATTGTCACATACACATAGTGTAAATAGATTCTCATATATGTATAATGTACTTTGGACCCTTTCTGGGGTTGCCTTGAAAAGGTCGAAAAGAAAGAACAAACCCTGTCTTCTTTCTTCTTCTTTTTTTGGGGGGTCCCCGTTCCGAGACAAACCTGTATGTATGGCTGTGTGTATGTGTGTACGGCTTCACCTTTTTGGGGGTTGGTTTAAGGGGAGCATGTTTTTGGGGAGGAGACCATGCATGCCGAGCAGCTTGTATCCGTAGCGTGCTAGCCTTGGCCCGCTCATGCCCGCACATGATGCTGCCCCCTGGATCTTTTGAAAAAAGAGGAGCTTGCGGCTAGGTCATTGAAAGACTACAAGATTCCAAGACTGCAGAAACACTACGGCAAAAGCAACAGACTACAGAAACAACACGGGAAGCCTACAGCAAGTCTGGATCTACGAGACTAACTGCAAGCAGTCTGCGGGATCATGAGAAGGCAGTGAGAAGACTAGGGAAAGTCTTGCCATTGATGTCTTTGAATAGCTTGGAGCAAAGGGGGAATGCTCAAATTCTTGGATTGGCAAACTTCAGGAATTGGATCTGGTTCCCTCGCAAATTTCGGAACACTTTGGGGCCCAAAGGGGTGACTAGTCAGCGTCCACAGCTGCTCTGTTTCGCTTGGAGAAGCGGGAACTTGCATGCACAAGGGAGCATTTGCAGTCACCAGCAAATGCTTGATCATCTTGGATTACTTGGCAACAATTTCATGGCTGGTGGCATGCCACCCTTTTGGGTGAGCTTTGATGGACACGCCTTGGAAACCAGCTGAGCCCTGAGGCCGACGCCTCAGATTCGATTCAACACTCCACCGCCAAACCGCCAAACCGAACGCCGAACCGCCGAACCGCATGGCCAACGGGGCGCGTGAAGGTGAGATGGTCCGCCATACCCATCAGCTGGCCAAAGCCCACGCGGTCCTCACAGCGTCGTTCCCGCGTCCCCAGGCCATCGCCCGTGGATGAGTCAATCAAAACTTGGTACTGAATGGGCCCAAGTGGCTGGGACTGTTCCGCAAGCTTCACTTCCTCCGGTGTCTATTGTGACTCACTTTGAAAACGGCACCATCTTAAGGAAAAACAAATCCTCACTTCAGTCGAACGGGGCAGTCAACGCAATCCCCTGGAATGGAACGTCTGCCCAAACGTGATGCTCCATTTTTCGAACGATCCCAGTTGTAGGTTTGTTCACTGGTAGCATCGTGGCTCGCTGTTTTGTCTGGAAAATCATGTGATATGCCAGCGTGGCCTGTAGCGAAACAACTACGAGCCACTGTGGGCTTCCATGCCCCAGTTACATGACCTATAGCCGCGAAAGCTTAAATGTCAGCACCATAGTCTTGACGAAAACATGCTCCCCGTCTCTCATACAAGCCACAGTCAAACCTCCCCAAGAGGACATGGGAAAGTGACCGGGCCCCTTAGGTTTTGTGGGGAAATTTAATTAGCGCGCCCTGTTGGTCCCTCCCCAATGACAAAGGACATTTCGACCGAAGCTGGAGGCTGTGTCTTATAAGAGAACCCCCAGATAAAGAGTTTCCTTTTGGCCTCCTTTTCAAAGCAACCCCAACAAGGGCCTCAAAAAAACGCGGAGCCACGGCTCCTGGGCCACCCCCAGCTCCGCCATCTTGCGGATGGTGCGCTCAATGGAGTGGCGGTTGTGGGATGCCACCAGCATCTAGCGCGCTGGGGTCCGACTCGGTTGGTTTGCTTTCTCACCTTTCCCCAAATCGGTTTGGGTCGTGTTAGTCGTGGGTTGGAGCTGAAGCTACTTTGAACTTTGTTTGCTTGGTTTCAACACAAAGGGCACGCTTAACCAAACCACGAAGTATTACCCCAGACTTAGACCCTCCGCAACAAAATCAACTGCTGCTGGCCTGAGGCAAAAACACTGAACAGCACCAAAAAGTTGCGCAAAAACAACAAAGTTGGGCAAGAACGTCTGGCAACAATCTCAGAGCACCAAGCGCTCGCCCTCGCCCGCCTCGGCTGGTGCACCGCCCGGGCCCTGAGCACACACACCCGCCTTTGGACCTTTGGGTGTGTTTTTGAGGGTAAAATCTCAGCCCCTCCAGCTGGGTTTGTCTCTAAACGGCCCTCCAAACTGGGTAAATTCCCTAAGCCCCCCCCAAAAAAACACAATCAGCTCAGGTGATATCCCCAACAGCATGCGATGCTCTTTTTAGTGCTCGCACCACCCCGCAGCCCTCGCAGAACCTCGTGGAACCCTCCTGGAACCCTGCACAAACCCTGGTGGAACCCTCGTCGTGGAACCTTACCTCAGGGCCGCCCCGGACCACCCCGGAGCCTATCTGGGCTGAGACCCCAAAGCTTTCAGCTGGTGGGGAACAATTAGCAGGATTCCTCTTTTCCCTCACCCAAAGCTCCAAGTCTCCCTCGCGCGAAACCCCAAAAAATGCCTCGCTCGCTGGCTTTTTGGCCCCCCGGCCATGTCACGCTCCTCCTCGTGGTTCAGAATGGCATCGATGGCCAGGTGGAAGTTCTCCTCCGTGTCCTCGTAGCTCTCCTCAGCGGGAAAAAAAAAGACCATGGCGGCGGCCTAATGAGAGGCGGCGGCTGAATCAGAGGCTCTGGGAAACATGGGTCTCAAAGCTTGGTTGAATGAACACCTGGGGAAGCATCTTGAAGATGTAGAAGAAAGGCTGGAACCTTTTCAAGGCGTTGCCGAGCAGCA